GAAAGACATATGAATAAAGATCTCTGTGACATGAATAAGTTTAAGGAAAAGTGCTGTGCCTTGATGTGCATAGGCAAACATCTTCATAAACATTTTCAGTGCATAAAGAGCAGCATTGCTAGCACGGCCCACCTCCAGCCCTGAGGCGGTTTTCTCCTATCTCAGTAAATAGAACATACAATCTGGTTTTACACCAAGTCGTTCCATTGCCTAGGGACGTTCAGGAGACAGATGCCTTTCTCTATCTCAACTGCCAAGAGGCCTTCCTTTCTCTTATACTAATCCTCCTCAGCACAGACCCTTCACAGGTATCAGGCTGGGGGACGATCAGGTCTTTCCCTTCCCACGAGGCCATATTTCAGACTATCACATGGGGAGAAACCTTGGACAATACCTAGCTTTCCTAGGCAGAGGTATGTGTCCATGGGTACTTGAGATTAACAGAATGGTGATGACTTTTAACCAGCATACTGCCTTCAGGCACTTGTTTAACAAAGCACATCCTGCACAGCCCCAAATCCGTTAAACCTTGAGTCACCACAGCACATGTCTCTTGCAAGGACAGGGTTGGGGGTAGGGTCACAGATTAACAGCATCTCAAATACAGAACAAAATGGAGTCTCTTATGTCTACTTCTTTCTGTATAGACACAGTAACAGTCTGATCTCTCTCTCTTTTCCCCACAGTTCTCAGAGAGGAGCTGTATCTATTAGCTGAATACCATCTGAACTCACTTCATCTGCTATTCCTGCTTTTCCTTCCTGTACTCCTCTGGCCCGCATGGTAGGTTATGGATGCCTCAAGCTCCTGAACTCACTTGATATAGTTCCAGCCAGCCTCAGAGAATGATTAAGAATCCCTGGATCTAATTGCCAGTTCCATCAAAGAGAATATGATTGGCCCAACTTTGATAATCAACACTGTATATTTGTGTTACGGAGATAGCTTTATGGTAAAATAAATAATAGTAACATGTATTAATATATAAAGAGATCCACTTTTTTCATAATTACTTAGAGTAAGTAAAATATTGTGATAACACTTACTGGTCTGTATCTTCCGCTAGCCTGTGAGCTCCTCCAGAGCGCGGATCCTATCATTTAACAGAATTATAATCATGTATATAATTATAATTATAATCTTGTATATAAGAATTATACAGAATTATAATTATGTATACACATGTATAAGGATTTTCCTGTCTCTAAGATTATTTTTAAAAATACTTAATTTTTGCATAATATTCCAAATTGGGACACTTCTGCAAGTTAATCACTTTTGAATATTTAGACTATTTTCAATTTTTCACTATAAATAACATTGCAATAGTCATCCTTTTCAAAAATCTTAGCTACAGATGTGATTATTTACTTTGGATAGCTTCTTAGAAGTTAAACTCTGGGCCGGGTGTGGCGGCTCACACCTGCCTATAATTCCAGCACTTTGAGAGACCAAGATGGGTGGATCACCTGAGGTCAGGAGTACAAGACCAGCCCGGCCAACATGGCAAAACCCCATCTCCACTAAAAATACAAAAGTTAGCCAGACGTGGCGGTGCATGCCTGTAATCCCAGCTACTTGAGAAACTGAGGCAGGAGAATTGCTTGAACCCGGGAGGCAGAGGTTGCAGTGAGCCAAGATCACACCATTGCACACCAGCCTGGGTGATACAGCAAGACTCTGTCTCAAAAAAAAAAAGTGAAACTCTGGCTATTCACTTTTTGGAGTTTCATAAATATATTACTAAATTGCTACAGGCCAAAACTGGAAGTACATTCCCCTTGAGAACTGGAACAAGAAAAGGATGCCCATTCTCACCACCCTTATTCAACATAGTGCTGGAAGTCCTAACCAGGATAATCAGGCAAGAAAAAGAAACAAAGGTATTCAAATAGGAAGAGAGGAAGGTAAACTATCTCTCTTTGCCAACGATATGATTCTGTAGCTAGAAAACCCTAAAGACTCTCCCAAAGGCCCCTGGAACTGATCAATGAATTTAGTGAAGTTTCAGGATACACAATCAATGTACAGAAAATCAGTAGCATTTTTATATACCAATAATGTTCTGGCTGAGAATCAAATCAAGAACACAATCCCATTTACAACAGGCACAAAGAAAATGGAATACTCAGGATCACCTAACCAGGGAGGTGAAAGATCTCTGCAAGGAGAACTACTAAACAGTACTGAAAGAAATCAGAGACAACACAAATAAATGGAGAAACAGTCCAAGCGCATAGGTTGGAAGAATCAATATAGTTTAAATGGCCATACTATCCAAAGCAATTTACAGATTTCACGCCATTCTTACCAAAATACCAACATCATTTTTCACAGAACTAGAAAAACGTCTTCTAAAATTAATTTGGAACCAAAAAAGAGCCTGAATAGTCAAAGCAATCTTAAGGAAAAAGAACAAAGCAAGATTTCAAACAATACTGTAAGGCTAAAGTAATCAAAACAGCATGATAATCATACAAAAACAGACACATAGACCAGTGGAATAGAATAGAGAACGCAGAAATAAAGCCACACACCTAAAACCATCTGGTCTTCGACAAAATCAACAAAAACAAGCAATACAGAAAGCATTCCCTATTCAATAAATGGTGGTGGGATAACTGGCTAGCCATATGCAGAAGAAAGAAACTGGACCTCCCTACCTCTCACCATATACAAAAATTAAGCCGGATTAAAGATTTAAAAGTAAGACCTCAAACTATAAAACTCCTAGAAAAAAACTAGGAAATACCCTTCTTGACATAGGCTTTGGCAAAGAATTTATAGCTAAGTCCCCAACAGCAATTACAACAAAAATAAAAACTGACAAGTGAGACCTAATTAAACTAAAGAGCTTCTGCACAGCAAAAGACACTATCAACAGAGTAAACAGATAGCCTACAGAATGGAAAAAAATATTTGCAAACTATGCATCTGACAAAGGTCTAACATCCAGAATCTACAATGAATTTAAACAAATCAAGAAGAAAAAACAATCCAATTAAAAAATGAGCAAAGGACATGAACACACACTTCTCAAAAGAAGACATACAAATAGCCAACAAACGTGAAAAAATCCTCAACACCACTAATCATTAGAGAAATGCAAATCAAAACTACAATGAGATGCCATCTCACACCCATCAGAATGGCAATTATTAAGAAAAAAAAATCCACATATGGGTTAGGCTATGAAGAAAAGGGAACGCTTATACTCTGTTGATGGGAATGCAAACTAGTTCAGCCACTATGGAAAGCAGTTTGGAGATTTCTCAAAGAACTTAAAATACAACTACCATTCAATCCAGCAATCCCACTACTGGGTATATACCCGAAGGAAAATAATTCATTCCATCAAAAAGACACAGAGCTGGGCACCGCAGCTCATGCCTGTAATCCCAGCACTTGGGAGGCCTAGGCGGGTGGATAGTTTGAGCCCAGGAGTTCTGGACCAGCCTGGGCAACACGGCAAGTCCCCATCTCTACAAAGCATACAAAAATTAGCCAGTTGTGGTAGCACACACCTGTAGTCACAGTTACTTGAAGGCTGAGGCAGGAGGATCAGTTAACCCAGGAAGTTGAGGCGGCAGTGAGCCATGCACGACTGCACTCCAGCCTGGGTGACGCAGCGAAACCCTGTCTCAAGACAAAAAAAAAAAAAAAAAAGAACACATGGAATTGTGTGTTCATTGTGGTGCCATTCACGATAGCAAGGACATGAAATCAACTTAAGTGCCCATCAACAGTGGACTGGATAAAGAAAATGTGGCACATATACACCATGGAATATTATGCAGCAATACAAATAGGGAAATTATAATCTTTATAGCAACATGGATGGAGCTGGGGGCCATTATCCTATGCAACCTAATACCAAGAACAGAAAACCAAACACACATGTTCTCACTTAGGAGCTAAACATTGACTATATGATGGTAAACATGGAAACAAGAGACACTGAATATCATTAGATGAGGAAAGGGGGAGAGGCACAGAGGGGTGTGAGCTGAAGAAGCACCTGTTGAGTACTATGCTTACATCCTGTTGGGATCGTTGGGACCCCAAACCTCGACATACTCTAGGGTTTTGCTTTTTGTTTTTTGAAACTGGTGAGATTAAACTTTTTTCCCTTTTTTTTTTTTTTTAGATGGAATCTCGCTCTGTCGCCCAGGCTGGAGTGCAATGGTGTGATCTCGACTCACTGCAACCTCCGCCTCCAGAGTTCAAGCGATTCTCCTGCCTCAGCCTCCCGAGTAGCTGGGATTACAGGTATGTGCCACCACGCCTGGCTAATTCTGTATTTTTAATATAGACAGGGTCTCTTCATGTTGGTCAGGTTGGTCTCGAACTCCCGACCTCAGGTGATCCGCCCGCCTCGGCCTCTCAAAAGTGCTGGGATTACAGGTGTGAGCCACCACTCCTGGCCATCCTAATGTTTTAAATAGCGATTTATATTTCCTCTTCATGAATTGTCTGTTAAAGCACTTGTGGGCGGAAATTAAGTTTTGTTCTTCTTTCAGTGTGCTTCGGGCCTTAGAAATGGTGTTTGTTACGTAGCTCTCACAAAGCTTTGAATACATATAGATAGAAACCTAGCCGTAATTGTTTAGAATCTTGCGAGAATAAGCCACTGCAACCGCACAACTGTGTGCCATTTTAGGATTTACCGAGAATATTCATGAGTATTGGTGCATTTTAATACAACTACTGTGCATTGATGCTTTCAGCATTTTACTATGCGCAGCAAAGTCTTGAGTGAGGTCTGGGAAGGATAAATGGTGAAAAATTAAGGAATTTCTCGCAGAAACGGAGGAATTCATCTTCCCTAAAGAAAGAATATACCGACTAAAATTAGTTGGTCCTCCCGTGCACCAGACGGCGAAGCAGCAGGATGTGACGCTGCACGGTCAGTGAGCGACTTGCTGGACTACACTTCCCAGAAGGTTTCTTTGGCCTCCGCACTACGCAATCACCCAGAATGCTCAGCGGCCGAGAACTTCAGGTCCCAGACTGCTGTGCGGCTAAATACGACTCCATCTCCCCCGACCCAAGCGCTTAATGGCCGCTGGCAATCTTGGGGGAGCCAGCTGTTGGACTATGCGCCGCTGCCAGGAAACAGGCGCCAGAAGGTTCTCCGACAAGATCCCGCCTTCCTAAGACGGTAAAGGCGTTCACAGGTCGGGAAGGGGCGGTGGGAGTAGTGGGACAGCGCTGAGCATTGCTCGTGAACTGTGGGTCGGCCTGCGAAGAGGCCCAGTTTCGTGGCACCACTGTGGCGCCCGCGCTGGAAGGTGGTCTTGTGACAGAGCGAAAACTACAATTCCCAGCATTCCTGCGGTGCCAGAACTACCTTGCCCGAAAGCCTGTGCGAGATTTACCCCGTCTTCCGCCTCCCGTCCGCCGGAAAACTCTGAGGCCATGAATAGTCGCCAGGCTTGGCGGCTCTTGCTCTCCCAAGGCAGAGGGGATCGTTGGGTTTCAAGCCCCCGCGGGCATTTCTCGCCGGCCCTGCGGAGAGGTGAGGCAAGGCGTCGTGTCATAGATGTCTGAGTGCTCTCTAGGGAGACGATGCCCGTGGGTCGCGCCTGCTCGAGCGAACGGGAAGAGAAGGTGCCACGCCCTCCTCCCCGATTCACGCCTTGTGCTGGCGACACAGCTGCCTGCTGCCCCGACTTGCCCAGCTCGCCCCAAGGGGCGAGGACTGAGGAAATCAGTGCCTTTCTGTTCTTAAAGCGAACCTTCGAAGGCCAGGGCTTCGCGCCCGGCTTCTTTCTCAGCCCTTGTTTCCCTTTTTTGGTGACAAGAGGCTAGTAATCTGGTAGGTTTGTCTGGAGGCAGCGTAAGGTAATCTGTGCTTGAGGGTGTCCTGATTTCTTTTGTGGCCTGATCTTTAGATTTTGTTTTTTTAGGTGCTGGCCTCGAGCCCAAGTTTTTGGTAGACAGCATCATAAATTTCAGATCACGTCTGCCTTATTCTCGCTGGAATTCTCAGTACTTTTCAGTCACATTGTAGACTTTGGGGAAAAAAGTGAATACTGGAACCTACAAGTTTCCAACCGGTTGGCACCCCTGTTAACAGGGTGTCCTGAAGACATCTAACTTTATTCCGAGAAACGTTTCTAGGGCTAGGTTTTTCTTGTTGTCGTTTTTTACCCCCCGTTTTTAAACTTCCCTCCTAGTTTTTAAACCGTTTTAAGATTGTCCACAAAATAGGCGAATAGGCACCTCTTATCAACCTTAGCATTCTCTGTTCACCTTCTTGAATCTTCAGTGCCAGGTACCCTGAGCCAGTCGGTACCCAAACACTTCCACGCTGTTATTTATGCTCCATATTGTTACTTGTGCTGTTTTGCTCATTGTTTAATTTTAATCCACACCAGTAACAGCTGCAGTCAAAACTGCAGTTGTTGATCATCCGTCTGTAAGATTGCTCTTTAGCTGCCAGGATCATTCACAAGGTCTCTTTTGTTAGGTATTTGGGTGTTTAGCATAAATACACATTATGATGGATTTTACAAAAAGGAGGTAGCACTTTTGAATTCCAGGAAATCATCCAACTTTCATCTTTGTTGACTTTTACAGGTGTGCTTCACATATCCAAATGAAAACAAAATTAAATGTTTTTAGAGAATGAACTTTGAAGTGCATATCATAATGCGAAATACATGACCATAAGTAAATGTTAATGTTTTAACGTAAAAGTTTTCCCACTTGAATCTGAGTGTGCTTGGAGAAACTTTAAATCTCTTCTTACAACTAGTAGGATTTGTGTCCTTCCTCACTAAACAAATATTGAATGTTTATTGTGTACAAGTAGTTTAAACTTGCCTAATAATGTTAATAATCGGGATTTGAAAACCTTGACCTCTGACCAGTGGAAGGACCTTAGTTATCATGATGCAACTAGTGTAGCACGTTAGTAGACCAGCAGGTAAGAACATATGCTGTAATGCCTGTTCTATTGAGTTCCTGACAGAAAAGTAACTGACTATACACTGAAGTGTTTCAGCTGTAAAATTAGCAGTAAATTCATATAAAACTTGCAACTTAAATTTATTGGGACAACATTTTACATATTTGTTTGTTTGTTTGTTTGTTTCAAAAGTAAAATTTGACCTTTTCCAGCAAAGAGGAGCTTGGTGCAAGATAGGCCAGAGTTCCAGTCCGCAATCTATGACTTAGTAGTTTTGCCAAACTGGTTAAACCTTTAAACCCTTGAGTTTGTATCTCACTATTACAAACAAACAAATCCGCAAGATATAGCTATCAAAGAATCAAAAGTAGTAACAATGAAAGGAAAGGTTTGGAGTTTTGTACAGATGTTTAAGCCTGTACAAAACTTTTCAGGCTATTAAGGATCTGTTGTTCCACTATGAGCTAGAAACACTGATTCTGGGCACTTCATTTCCCCTACCTATTAATATGGCTGCGAAGACTTATTTATTTATTTATTTATTTTGAGACAGGGTCTCTGTCACTCAGTCTCGTGTGCCTTGGTGCCATCTCGGCTCACTGCAACCTCTGCCTCCCAGGCTCAGGTGATCCTCCCACTTCAGCCTCTCAAGTAGCTGGGACTACAGGCACATGCCACCGTGCCCAGCTAGTTTTTGTAATTTTTGTAGGGACAGGATCTTGCCATGTTGCCCAGGCTGATCGCGAACTCCTGGGCTCAAGCGATCCGCCTGCCTTGGCCTCCCAACTGCTAGGATTACAGGCATGAGCCACTGCACCTGGCCTGTAAAGACATTCTTAATGAGCGCTTATGCATTGAACTGCTCATGACCAGTTGGAATAGTGATTATGAAACCCTACTATGAATATCCAATGGTTTTTCCAGTTGCTTATGGCTTCCAAAGTGGAGTGAAACCCAAAGTTCTACTGCCAGTGGGTGTCAATACCTACCTCATAGGATTGGGAGGACTAAGCAAAATATTATGTGAATATCTTAGCACATTTAAGGAATAATGTTTTACATATCCTTCTGCATTCTCAGCTCTCCTTAGCCCCATAATAAATAGAAGCCAAGAGAATAGCAAAGGCAGCCCGTGCCTAGATTTTGCTGATTTCATTCATCCTGTCTGGATAACTTCTTTAATATTTAATGTAGCTGTACCATCATCCAAATAGCCATTCTTGATCCTTTATTCTCAAGGAGGGCCAAATGCGTCTCCTTTGTATTATTCATCATTGTGTATACATAATGCCAAGCACAGTGCCTTTCATTCAGCAAGTATCTATGGAGCATCCAGATTTGTGTAGGCATTGGGGATTCAGTAGTGAGCAAGAACAAATGTGGTCCCTGCTCTCAAGACCTGTATAGTTTAGTGCAGGGGTTGACAAACTTTTTCTGTAAAGAGCCCAATAAATATTTCAGGCTTTGTAGGCTGTAAGGTCAGTCACAACTATTTGCTTTGCCACTGTAGCATGAAAGTAGCCATAGATTAATCCATAAATGAATGAGCTGTGTTCTAATAAAACTATCTAGTTCTAATGAATAAAACTAGAAAAACAGGTGGTGGTAGTCTACAGGCTATAGTTGGCTGACCACTGGTCTCTTGGGGAGACAACTGAGAGTCACATAAATGTGTAAATTGTGAGAGGGTTTGCAAAAGAATCCTATGCAGTACTATGAAAAACCATCACAAGAGAGACATAACCCAAAGGACTCGTCAGGCTTTCCAGAGGAAGAAACATTCAGACTGAGCTCTGAAGGATAAACATGAGCAGGCAAAGAAAAAGAGAGCTTTCTGAACAGGGCAGGGGCTGGGCAAAGGCCCTGAGAAGGTAAAGCACATGGCATGTTTGTGGAATTAAAATCAAAGAGCCCTTGAAAGCAGAGGACCAGAGAGAGCATAGCAGGACATGAGACGAGCTACACCCTACAAAGATTTATTGGCTTGTTAAGGTATTTGGTCTGTATCCCAAATTTAGTAGGAAGCTGCTCTTTGTGTAAGGTATTCAGAGTGTTTGTTGACTAAGTCAGAGGAACTGTACTAATCCGCCTAGCTATGAGACCATAAGATCTTGGACTAATTACAGACAGTCCACAACTTAAGATAGTTTAACTTAAAATTTTTCGACTTTATCATGGTGCAAAAACAGTATGCATTCAGTAGAAACTGTACTTTGAATTTTGATCCTTTCCTAATCTAACAATAATGCATTGGCAGGGGCAGCAAGCCGCAGCTCCCCCAGTTAGCCATGGATCACAAGGGCAAATAACCAATACTTAGTATTGCCAGGGTTTTTTGGGTTTTGTTTTTGCATCCCATAATGTTTACAAAATGCCCATTTGGGTGTCTACATGAAATATTCAACACTTTATTGTAAAATAGGTTTTGTGTTAGATGATTTTGGCCAACTATAAGCTAATGTAAGTGTTCTTGGCGTGCTTGAGGTGAGCCCAGCTAAGCTGTGATGTTCAGCAGGTTAGGTGTATTAAATGCATTTTCAGCTCAGGATATTTTCAATTTATGATGGATTTAATGGGACATAACCCTTTTATAAGCTGAGGAGCATCCATACTTAGCCCTGAGCCTCAATTTACCTCATCCATAAAATGAGAATTTTAAGGATGGGGTAATAGATGTGAAAACAGTAAAATATTATATAAATGTTATTACTGATTTTTTTTCTAAATCCAAATAAACTTCTAATCAGGGATATGTAACTAAGAGTACCATCACTACTCCTAATGCAGTTGTTATTGAAATTACTGAAATCTGCCCCTTTTCCTCTAATTTTTCTTTTTCTCTCCTACCTTAGGTCTGATATTTACACACAAAGGCATGTTTCTTTACTAGATGACATTCAAGTGAAAAAGATTACTGACCAGTGTACCAATATGTGTGTTTTAAAACATTGCTCCACTTTTATTTACAGCTACTTGCTTTTATCTCTTCAGTTAAATAGAATTTTTTGGAGTATTTTAATAAATCTTTTATCATTTGAATTTAGAGTTTATTGTTAGGTTTTTTTAAAAAACAGTATCTCTTTCCTGCCTTCTAGTCTATAAAATCAGTGAGAACATCATTCATGTCTGGTTTTGCTTATCATTTTACCCCTGTGCCTGGCACAAGTTCTAGCACTCAATAAATATTCATTAGGCTAGAAGGATATAAAGAAGGAATCACATTTGTTCTACACAGTACTGGTGGAAAAATAATGCCTGAAGTTGCAGTCTTTTTTTTTTCTTTCTTTCTTTCTTTTTTTTTTTTTTTTTTGAGACAGTCTCGCTCTGTTGCCCAGGCTGGAGTGCAGTGGCGTGATCTCAGCTCACTGCAAGCTCCACCTCCCAGGTTCACGCCATTCTCCTGCCTCAGCCTCCCTAGTAGCTGGGACTACAGGTGCCTGCCACCATGCCTGGCTAATTTTTTTGTATTTTTAGTAGAGACGGGGTTTCACTGTGTTAGCCAGGATGGTCTTCATCTCCTGACCTCGTGATCCCCTGACCTTGGCCTCCCAAAGTGCTGGGATTACAGGTGTGAGCCACCGTACCCGGCCTGCAGTCTTTTAAATATCTAGATATTTTAAGTGGCTTAGGATAAATAAGAGAAACAGCATGGAGTGTAAGATTTGAAGTCAGAAGAATCTGAGTCTGAATCCTAATTCTACCATTGGCTCTGTAAAGGTAACTCCTTTACCTTTCCTAGAAGTTGTTTATGGGCAGAGTACCTTATAATAAATTCATCAGCAATATACAGAAAAGGTCTTGACTGTGTCTAGGTTAAAACTTGGGGAATTTATTGAAATAGGACAAAAAGGGTTATTTCAGAAATGAGAATTTTTTCTTAGGGTTCTTATGTTGATACCAGTAAATATGCCCATGATTTCAAATCAAATTCATTGATTGCATCAACAGTAAAACTTTGTGGCCCAACTATGTGCCAAAGCACTGTTCTAGGTGCTAAAGATACAGTAGTGAAAACCACAGTCAAAGCATCATGGAACTTCCATTCTGATCCAGAGATACAAACAGCAAACAAGATAATTTCATATTGGAACTGAGAACTATGTAGGAAATAAACTGTGGATATATAAGTGAGTGGGAGTATGGAAAGCTACTTTAAACAGGGATGTAAGTGTAAAAAATTTTCATAGCTCTTGAAAGACTGAGCACAGAGAAGAATTGAATTGTGTAGTTTCTGCTTTACAGTAAGTAGAGCTGAGGTGGTGATATCCAAAGCATTTGATGTGTTTTATTACAAGTTTATACTAACTCTTAACATTCCTGAATACCAAAGGAGGGAAAAGAAACATTTATTGAATGTTTAGTATGTACAGAAAAAAGTCAGAGACTTTCCAGATAAAAGAGAGGCTCAGAGGAGTCAATTAACTTGGGTGAGATGACAAAACTAGAAGAGCTGGAACTATATCATAAATGGATGGGGAAAATGCTTTGTAAGCTAAAGTAGGAAACCTTTATCAGTTACTATAAGAGAAAAAAAATGTCTTCTCTTTTCAGACTTCTTCACCACCACAACCAAGGAGGGATATGATAGGCGGCCAGTGGATATAACTCCTTTAGAACAAAGGAAATTAACTTTTGATACCCATGCATTGGTTCAGGACTTGGAAACTCATGGTGAGAAACATGGATACCTCCTGAAAGAAGAAAATTAATAGCACTCATAATAATTGCCTAGTCAAGACAGTATCACTGTTATGAACAATTAAGAGTATTTAAATAGACAATCCAATGAAATATTTTATAGTCACTAAAAATGATACTATTTGAGAAATACTTACTGATATGAGGAATGTTCAAGATATGTTAATTAAAAAAAGCACTGAAATATGTACAGAATGATTCCAATTAAGTGAAAAAGAAACTAGTTTCTAGGCTAATACTAAAGTCCATGTGGAAGTACAAATGTTTGAGATTAAAAAATTGGAAAATAAGCACAAAAAATTACCTGATATCAAAACAGTAATTTAAATTATGTGATATTAAAGGAATAGACTAATAGAACAAAATGGTATTCAGAGACACAGACATGAATTTAATGTGATGAAGGCATTACAAATTAGGGAAAGGAAGGACTATTTAATAAATGAGATAATAAATGACTAGCCACTGGGAAAAAATATATTAGATCCCCTTACTGAAAACTAAATTTCAGATAGATGAAAAGCTAAATAAATGTAAAAGAATAAGCAGTTTTATAGAAAAAAGGGGGCAAATGCTATAAACAAGCATAACACAGAAAAATAAATATAAATAACAAAAAGTATATGTAATGCTTAACCTCTCTACCAACCAAGGAAATGCAAATTTAAGTAACATTAAAATAACAATGTAATACAATTTTTTTTGCCAATTACTCAAAATAAAAAGTCATGTCTAGTGTTAATGTAGATGTGGGGAGATACAGAATGGGAATTAAAATTGTAGAGTACTTTTGGAGAGTAATTTAGCATTATCTGTCAATTTTTAAATTGTAACCATTATTTTAAAAAGAGTATAACAATTTAAATGTTGAGGAGTTACTCTCGCTGTTTATTTTGATAAGGATATACACTTTAAAATACCTATTTGCTGCCTACAGGATTTGACAAAACACAAGCAGAAACAATTGTATCAGCATTAACTACTTTATCAAATGTCAGCCTGGATACTATCTATAAAGAGATGGTCACTCAAGCTCAACAGGTAATACACTGATTACTACCGCTTCTGATACTTTCATTAGACAGTCATTTCATAACTACGTCTCTGTCTACCTAGTGACCTTCCAAACACGCTCGTATCTTCCTTGTTCTCTCTAAAGGGACCACACACACACACACAAAAAAAACACTGAATAAAGTCAGTATTTAGAGAGACTGAATAGTTAGAATAGTTGTAATAATGTTGTGGTAACAGAGATGGTATTTTGCCAAATCTTTGATGGGATGAGATCATTATATTGTGTTATTCATGAGTGGTGGTAGATTGTTAGTGAAACAACTTTTTCCCTCAAGAAAGCTCACCACAGAAGAGCTAATCTTTCTATATATTAAGTATGTTTTATTGCTGCTATACATACATATTGGTTAATTTTCACAGACATAGCTGGAAAGGACTTACATGACTGAGAAGGACTTTATAAATTCCCTAAGACGCCTTAATTTGACTGAATATAAAAATCCTAAAGTCAAATATAAGAATTTAACATGTAAGAGGCACAATGCTGTGTATTTTTCATATATTATTTAATCTCTAACAACCTTGAAAAGTAAGCAGAATTCTATTTGGCCACTGAAGACAGGCTTAGAGAGACTGAGTAATTTACAGGAGTTTTCACTGTGGTGATATGGACAAAAAGCAATAATTTTACATAAAGGACTGAATAAATGAGCTTAACTAGAATAATTTCATACTTGATATGAAACTAAGCTAGCAGGATGGGGGGAGAAAATAAAGTAATAAAGTCTTCTTATTCTGAGAATTTGATTATATTGTGATTCTGATTCAAATCTGAATATTCTCTGATGGCTCCATAGTAGTTACAAAAATCACACTTTTAATATATTTGGCTACTTAACAATGGATTATGTCTTTACATTTAAAGTTGTTAAAGATGGACACCTGTGCAGTTTTGTAGGCTTTTTCAGTCTGTATTTAAAGAATGAGGTAAAAAGAAGCTCTTAAGAGCCACATTAAGGCCGAGTGTAGTGGCTCACGCTTGTAATCCCAGCACTTTGGGAGGCTGAGGTGAGCGGATCACTTTAGATCAGAAGTTCGAGGCCAACATGGCAAAACCCTGTCTCTACTAAAAATACAAAAAAAAATTAGCCACGCATGATGGTGGGTGCCTGTGGTCCAAGCTACTCGGGAGGTTAAGGCATGAGAATTGCTCAAACCCAGGAAGCTGCAGTGAGCCAAGATCATGCCAGTACACTCCAGCCTGAGTGACCGAGCAAGGCTCTATCTCAAGAAAGCCACAATACAATCCCTTATTTTCAGGTTCAGACTCCACAAGTATGAAGTCTGTAATTAGCTTTCCAACTTTTGCCTATGTAATAGGCAAAAATCTCAGTAATAAGAATACATTATTTTTAATGTCATATAATTCCTTTATAGTGATATTTGGGGCAAACAGGACTGCCAGCCCCTAGAGGCCACATCTGTGTGACTTCTGAATTAATTCTCATAAATATGTCAAACAGAATTGAATAAAATGAACAACCCTCCTGAGTAATATATGAGGGTTAGAAAAGGCATGCGTCAGCAATGTCTGTTGTACACAGTTAAAAACTTTTATATAAGAAGTCCAAACTTCCTCCACATTAATACATTAGCATTAGACTATCGTGCTTCAGTCATTAGTTCTCTGTCCCATCGGTAATAATAATAGTTAACATTTCAGTGATAACCATATGCCAAGTACTATCTTAAGCATTATACATACATAATCTCATTTAATCCTCAGAACAACTCTTTAAGGTGTACCAGGTACTGTTACTATTTCCATTTTACCAATGAGGAGACCAGAGAAGTTAAATGACTTGCTAGCATCTCACAGTAAATGGCAGAGTTTGGATTCAAAGCTTGACAGCCTGACTCCAGAACTCATACTGTTTTTTTGGGGGGCTTTCTTGTTTTATTTCTAAACCGTTATACAGAGTCCTTAATAAGGTTGTATCTCATCTGCTTTTTCTTTTGGTAAAGGATAGATAAATTAGCAAGCTACATGATTTTAAGAAGTGTAGTGCTACAGGTTGAATATCCCTTATCTGAAATGCTTGAGACCAGAAGTGTTTTAGATTTCAGATTTTTTATTTTGGAATATTTCCTTTACACTTACCAGTTGCACATCCCAAATCTGAAATCCAAAATACTCCAATGCACATTTCCTTTGAGTGTCATGTCGGCACTCAAAAAGTTGCGGATTTTGGATTTCGGATTTTTGGATTAGGGATATTCAACCTGTAACAGTTATATTTTCTTTGTAAGACTGTCTTAAATCATTTCTACAAAATTGTCCTCCCTAATGAAGCAAAAGCTTATAGATCTATCAGGTAAATGCTACCTTTTCTTTCACATATTCTTTGTAGTGCCAAATATAGGGAAGATACCCAGGAATTTAAACAAAATTGGTTATGTTGTGCTGACAAAGGGCAATTATTTTAACTACATATCTATTTTGTTTTACTATCTGACTTCTGAGTCGTATCCAATACCATGGAATTTTCCAGTGGTAGAAAATCTCAAAATCAAAGTAATAAGAGATAAAACCCTTTCCATTTGGTTATTCAAAAAACAAGAACAAAACATTATTGTTTTGAGGAACTCTTAGGGTCTAAGGAAGCATTTTATTGAGATTCTTTTCATTCAAAGACTTACACATTTCTCTCCCCTAGGGAAATACCTTTTTCTTCCTTGAATCTTTTTCTTTTCATATTGATATTTCAGATATGTAAGTTTCATATTTACTTAACCAGTCAGCATTATACCTTGTAGCATGTTAACAAATGCATTTAAATTTCATGAAAAACAATTCCATAAATAAAAGATGGCTTTCTGTGGATCACTAGGTTATTTTTTTGTTTGTTTTCTAGGAAATAACAGTACAACAGCTAATGGCTCATTTGGATTCTATCAGGAAAGACATGGTCATCCTAGAGAAAAGTGAATTCGCAAATCTGAGAGCAGAGAATGAGGTGATGCAAATTTTAATTTATTACTCATAAAATAACTGATCTCATAATAAGCATCCTACTTAGTGAATAAGTTAATAAGACCAACTAATAATTCCATGTGGTTAGTAAACAATAAGTTTTTAGATTTAAAAAGTACTATTTGTTTAACCATACCTAATCTTTTTCTATATAAATCATAGTGCTTTGCATACTGATAAGAATAAGAGTTACATTTTATACATATAAAACCACATAAAACAGAAAATCTTTGAGCTATGTGTATAAAATTTCTATATAATGGTTTCAGAGCTGAGAGTAATGTGGCATTTTCTATTTTATTTAATCCTGTACTAAATGTCTTTGTGACTTAAGAGAAAAGTGTATTTCTGTAATTAAGTCAGAATTTTAAGTTATGTTATCCACTGTAGCTTTTTAAATTTAGAAAATCAATTTTTAAAAGTATAATACAAAAACAAATGCATTTTGCTCATAACAATTATTTTCTGAATACAGTGGCTTACTAGTTTCTTTTGAAGATTTTTTTCCTTATCAATTGTGTAATAGAAATCCATAGATTGTCCAAATTTTGGTAATCTAGGGTTTCAGATTTTTTTAATCATAATATAGATTTGGTTTAATGCTAATTACATGTGATCTTTCCTGTACCTAGAAAATGAAAATTGAATTAGACCAAGTTAAGCAACAACTAATGGTAAGTGAATTTTTTCCTAGCCGTTAATTTCAGAACAAATATTCATAATAAGATCATTTTTTAAATATCTTTATTTTCTTTAAAGCATGAAACCAGTCGAATCAGAGCAGATAATAAACTGGATATCAACCTAGAAAGGAGCAGAGTAACAGATATGGTATTGTGCTTTTAAATGTACTTTCTTGGTTACTTACTCCTTTTTAATTTTAGTCTTTTTTTTTTAACTTCCTGCTGCTTCATATCCTATAGTTTACAGATCAAGAAAAGCAACTTATGGAAACAACTACAGAATTTACAAAAAAGGTAAGGTAATATGTAAAAATGTCTCTTTTGTACAGTTCTTGTGCCTTGTATAACTGCTTTTATGTGTACCAGTTTATAAGTTTGGACTTTTAAAAACTAGCCCTGTAGAATCTCTGGCTTCCTCATAACTATTATAGTTAGCCAGCACTTCCGGGGAACCTGGCACCAAGTAGATCGTCATCCATGAGCCATGACCTTGAAGTAAGAATCAAGCTTTCCACATAGTGTGCCTTTTTAAACTAAATTACTTCTATAATAGAAAATAACTATTTTTTGGGCTAGGCACAGTAGCTCACACCTGTTAATCCTGCACTTTGGGAGGCTGAGGCAGGAGTTCAAGACCAGTCTGGGAAATAGAGCAAGACCCTGTCTCAAAAAAAAAAAAAAAAAAAGAACTATTTTTTAAAAGACAAAGATTCACTATTGGTATTTCATAATTGGTACTTAAATGAGTGCCTAGGTTCAGTTAAATAATTATCTTAAGGTTTTAAAAAAGCTATATATTAATAATATATAAACACTCATATTTAGTGTTTATTAATGTGCCAGATACCATTTTACATGCTTTACTTATATCTGTTACATCTGTCAATTAACTTAATATTCATATCAGTTTGTGTGATGTAGGCACGATTATTCCCATTTAAACAATTTGGAAAATGAAGCACAGAGGGGTTAAGGTCCCACAGTTAATAAGTGATGTCACTAGGGAAAGAACCTGGATTCTAAATCCCTAACTTGGAAGTACTGTTTTCCTTCTCAGTAATGCTACAATGTAATCATGACTTCATCTCTGTGGCTTGAGTAAAACCCAGCTTTCTGACTCAGCTTTGTCCTTTTCTTAAAAGTTCAAAGCCATTTGTCCACATTCTAACAGAAAATATATCACTCTTGCTTATAATTTAATAGAAGAGAAGGTCACATTTGTTCTTTCAGAGATCTTACTGTCTTCCCTTACTTCTTGGCCAGATAAAGGAGACAAGCAACGAAATCATCTTATATATTTAGGTATCAAATATGTTATTATGAGGTTTTTAGAATATGCCCAGTATGTGATACTCCTAAAAGATGATCTCCAAATATGAAAGTAGAAGGAATGTAATTCGTCAGTTTATAGTGTTTTTTTATAATTTTTTTTTTGATACTTTAAGTTCTAGGGTACATGTGCACAACATGCAAGTTTGATACATAGGTATACATGTGCCATGTTGGTTTGCTACACCCATCAACTCATCATTTACCTTAGGTATTTCTCCTAATGCTATCCCTCCCTCAACCCCTCACCCACCAACAGGCCCCACTGTGTAATGTTCCTGTATCCAAGTGATCTCATTGTTCATTTCCCACCTATGAGTGAGAACTTGTGGTGTTTGGTTTTCTGTCCTCGTGATAGTTTGTTGAGAATGATGGTTTCCAGCTTCATCCGTGGCCCTGCAAAGGACGTGAACTCATCCTTTTTTATGGCTGCATAGTATTCCCTGGTGTATATGTGCCACATTTTCTTAAACCAGTCTGTCATTGATGGACATTTGGGTTGGTTCGAAGTCTTTGCTATTGTGAATAGTGCCGCAGTAAACATATGTGTGCATGTGTCTTTATAGTAGCATGATTTATAATCCTTTGGGTATATACCCAGTAATGGGATGGCTGGGTCAAATGGTATTTCCAGTTCTAGATCCTTGAGGAATCACCACACTGTCTTCCACAATGGTTGAACTAGTTTATAGTCCCACCAACAGTGTAAAAGTGTACCTATTTCTCCACATCCTCTCCAGCACCTGTTGTTTCCTGACTTTTTAATAATTGCCATTCTAACTGGCGCGAGATGGTATCTCATTGTAGTTTTGATTTGCATGTCTCTGATGGCCAGTGATGATGAGCATTTTTTCATGTGTCTATTGGCTACATAGATGTCTTCTTTTGTGAAGTGTCTGTTCATATATCCTTTGCTCACTTTTTGATGGGGTTGTTCTTTTCTTGTAAATTTGTTTCAGTTCTTTGTAGATTCTGGATATCAGCCCTTTGTCAGAAGGGTAGATTGCAAAAATTTTCTTCCATTCTGTAGGTTGCGCATTCACTCTGATGGTAGTTTCTTTTGCTGTGCAGAAGCTCTTTAGTTTAATTAGATCCCATTTGTCAATTTTGGCTTTTGTTGCCATTGCTTTTAGTGTTTTAGACATGAAGTCCTTGCCCATGCCTATGTCCTGAATGGTATTGCCTAGGTTTTCTTCTAGGGTTTTTATGGTTTTAGGTCTAATATTTAACTCTCTAATCCATCTTGAATTAATTTTTGTATAAGGTGTAAGAAAGGGATCCAGTTTCAGCTTTCTACATATGGCTAGCCAGTTTCCCAACACCATTTATTAAATAGGGAATCCTTTCCCCATTTCTTGTTTTTGTCAGGTTTGTCAAAGATCAGGTGGTTGTAGAAGCATGGTGTTATTTCTGAGGGCTCTGTTCTGTTCCATTGGTCTGTATCTCTGTTTTGGTACCAGTACCATGCTGTTTTGGTTACTGTAGCCTTGTAGTATAGTTTGAAGTCAGGTAGCGTGATGCCTCCAGCTTTCTTCTTTTTGCTTAGGATTGTATTGGCAATGCAGGCTCTTTTTTGGTTCTATATGAACTTTAAAGTAGTTTTTTCCAATTCTGTGAAGAAACTCATTGGTAGCTTGATGGGGATGGCATTGAATCTATAAATTACTTTGGGCGGTATGGCCATTTTCATGATATTGATTCTTCCTATCCATGAGCATGGAATATTCTTCCATTTGTTTGTATCCTCTTTTATTTCGTTGAGCAGTGGTTTATAGTTCTCCTTGAAGAGGTCCTTCACATCCCTTGTAAGTTGAATTCTAGGTATTTTATTCTCTTTGTAGCAATTGTGTATGGGAGTTCTTCACTCATGATTTGGCTCTCTGTCTGTTATTGGTGTATAAGAATGCTTGTGATTTTTGCACATGAATTTTGTATCCTGAGACTTTGCTGAAGTTGTTTAGTTTAAGGAGATTTTGGGCTGAGACAATGGTGTTTTCTAAATATACAATCCTATCATCTGCAAACAGGGACAGTTCGACTTCCTCTTTTCTTAATTGAATACCCTTATTTCTTTCTCTTGCCTAATTGCTCTGATTGGCCCTGCCAGAACTTCCAACACTATGTTGAATGGGAGTGGTGAGAGAGGGCATCCTTGTCTTGTGCTAGTTTTCAAAGGGAATGCTTCCAGTTTTTGCCCATTCGGTGTGATACTGGCTGGGGGTTTGCATAAATAGCTATTATTATTTTGAGATACATCCCATCAGTACCTAGTTTATTGAGAGTTTTTGGCATGAAGGGCTGTTGAATTTTGTCAAAGGCCTTTTCTGCATCTGTTGAGATAATCATGTAGTTTTTGTTTTTGGTTCTGTTTATATGATGGATTACGTTTATTGATGCATATGTTGAACCACCCTTGCATCCCAGGGATGAAGCCGACATAATGGTGGTGGATAAGCTTTTTGATGTGCTGCTGGATTCGGTTTGCCAGTATTTTATTGAGGATTTTCGCATCAATGTTCATCACAGATATTGCTCTAAAATTCTTTTGTTGTTGTGTCTCTGCCAGGCTTTGGTATCAGGATGATGTCAGTCTCATAAAATGAGTTAGGGGGGATTCCCTCTTTTTCTGTTGATTGGAATAGTTTCAGAAGGAAACTATTTTGTACAGCTCCTCTTTGTGCCTCTGGTAGAATTTGGCTGTGAATCTGTCTGGTCCTAGACTTTTTTTGGTTGGTAGGCTATTTATTATTGCCTCAATTTCAGAGCCTGCTATTTGTCTATTCAGGGATTCAACTTCTTCCTGGTTTAGTCTTGGGAGGGTGTATGTGTCCAGGAATTTATCCATTTCTTCTAGATTTTCTAGTTTATTTGCATAGAGGTGTTTATAGTATTCTCTGATGGTAGTTTGTATTTCTGTGGGGCTGGTGGTGATATCCCCTTTATCATTTTTTATTGCATCTATTTGATTCTTATCTTTTCTTCTTTATTCGTCTAGCTAGCGGTCTATCAATTTTGTTGATCTCTTCAAAAAACCAGCTCCTAGATTCATTGATTTTTTTGAAGGGTTTTTTGTGTCTCTGTCTCCTTCAGTTCTGCTCTGATCTTGGTTATTTCTTGCCTTCTGCTAGCTTTTGAATGTGTTTGCTCTTGCTTCTCTAGTTCTTTTAATTGTGATGTTAGGGTGTCAATTTTAGATCTTTCCTGCTTTCTCCTATGGGCATTTAGTGCTATAAATTTCCCTCTACACACTGCTTTAAATGTGTCCCAGAAATTCTAGTATGTTGTATCTTTGTTCTCATTGGTTTCAAAGAACATCTTTATTTCTGCCTTCATTTCGTTATGTACCCAGTAGTCATTCAGGAGCAGGTTGTTCAGTTTCCATGTAGTTGAGTGGTTTTGTGTGAGTTTCTTAATCCTGAGTTCTGATTTGATTGCACTGTGGTCTGAGGGACAGTTTGTTGTGATTTCTGTTCTAAGTCTCTAAGGACTTGCGTTATGAATCTGGGTTCTCTTGTATTGGGTGCATATATATTTAGGATAGTCAGCTCTTCTTGTTGAATTGATCCCTTTACCATTATGTAATGGCCTTCTTTGTCTCTTTTGATCTTTGTTGATTTAAAGTCTGTTTAATCAGAGACTAGGATTGCAACCCCTCCTTTTTTTTTTCTTTCCATTTGCTTGGTAGATCTTCCTCCATCACTTTATTTTGAGTCTGTGTGCGTCTTTGCATGTGAGATCGGTCTCCTGAATACAGCATACTGATGAGTCTTGACGCTATCCAATTTGCCAGTCTGTGTCTTTTAATTGGGGGCATTTAGTCCATTTACATTTAAGGTTAATATTGTTATGTGTGGATTTGATCCTGTCATTATGATGTTAGCTGGTTATTTTGCCCATTAATTGATGCCCTTTCTTCCTAGCATCAATGGTTTTTACAATTTGGCATGTTTTTCCAGTGGCTGGTACTGGTTGTTGCTTTCCATGTTTAGTGTTTCCTTCAGGAGCTCTTGTGAGGCAGGCCTGGTGGTGACAAAAATCTCTCAGCATTTGCTTGTCTGTAAAGGATTTTATTTCTCCTTCACTTATGAAACTTGGCTGGATATGAAATTCTGGGTTGAAAATTCTTTTCTTTAAGAATGTTGAATATTGGCCCCCACTCTCTTCTGGCTTGTAGAGTTTCTGCCAAGAGATCCACTGTTAGTCTGATGGGCTTCCCTTTGTGGGTAACTCAACCTTCCTTTCTGGTTGCCCTTTAACACACTTTTTCCTTCATTTCAACCTTTGTGCATCTGACAATTATGTGTCTTGGGGTTGCTCTTCTCGAGGAGTATCTTTGTGATGTTCTCTGTATTTCCTGAATTTGAATGTTGGCCTCCCTTGCTAGGTTGGGGAAGTTCTCCTGGATAATATCCTGAAGAGTGTTTTCCAACTTGGTTCCATTCTTCCCATCACTTTCAGGTACACCAATCAAACGTATATTTGGTCTTTTCACAGACTCGCATATTTCTTGGAGGCTTTGTTCATTTCTTTTTACTCTTTTTTCTCTCACCTTGTATTCTCACTTTATTTCATTCATTTGATCTTCAATCACTGATACCCTTTCTTCCACTTGATCAAATTGGCTATTGAAGCTTGGGCATGCATCACAAAGTTCTGATGCCATGGTTTTCAGCTCCATCAGGTCATTTAAGGTCTTCTCTATGCTGTTTATTTTAATTAGCCATTCATAATCTTTTTTCAAGGTTTTTAGCTTCCTTGTGATGGGTTCGAACATCTTCCTTTAGCTTGGAGAAGTTTGTTATTACCAACCTTTTGAAGCCTGCTTCTGTCAACTCGTCAAAGTCATTCTCCATCCAGCTCTGTTCCATTGTTGGCAAGGAACTGCAATCCTTTGGAGGAGAAGAGGCGCTCTGATTTTTACAATTTTCAGCTTTTCTGCTCTGGTTTCTCCCCATCTTTGTTGTTTTATCTACCTTTGGTCTTTGATGTTGGTGACCTATAGATAGGGTTTTGGTGAACCCTTTTTGTTGATGCTGATGCTATTCCTTTCTGTTTGTTTTCTTTCTAACAGTCAGGTCCCTCAGCTGCAGGTCTGTTGGAGTTTGCTGGAGGTCCACTCCAGACCCTGTTTACCTGGGTATCACCAGCAGCGGCTGCAGAACAGCAAATATTGCTGCCTGATCCTTCCTCTGGAAGCTTCGTCCCAGAGGGGCAGCCACCTATATGAGGTGTCTTTCAACCCCTACTGGAAGATGTCTCCCAGTTAGGCTACACGGGGGTCAGGGACCCACTTGAAGAGGCAGTCTGTGTGTTCTCAGAGCTCAAACGCGGTGCTGGGAGAGCAACTGCTCTCTTCAGAGCTGTCAGAGACATTTAAGTCTGCAGAAGTTGTCTGCTGCCTTTTGTTCAGCTATGCCCTGCCCACAGAGGTGGAATCTAGAGACAGTAGGCCTTGTTGAGCTGTGGTGGGCTCTGCCCAGTTCAAGCTCCCCAGCCACTTTACCTACTCAAGCCTCAGCAATGGCAGACACCCCTCCTCCAGCCAGGCTGCCGCCTCACAAGTTCCATGTCAGACTGTTGCGCTAGCAGTGAGCAAGGCTCCATGGGAGTGGGACCTGCTGAGCAAGGTGCAGGAGAGAATCTCCTTGTCTGCTGGTTGCTAAGACCTTGGGAAAAGCACAGTATTTGGGCGGGAGTGTCCCGTTTTTCCAGGTAGTCTGTCATGGCTTCCCTTGGCTAGGAAAGGGAAATCCCCTGACCCTTTGCGCTTCCTGGGTGAGGCAACACCCTGCCCTCCTTCAGTTCGCCCTCTGTGGGCTGTACCCACTGTCCAACCAGTCCCAATGAGATGAACCAGGTACCTCAGTTGGAAATGCAGAAATCACCCATCATCATCTGCATCAGTCACACTGAGAGCTGCAGACCGGAGCTGTTCCTTTTTGGCCATCTTGGAATGCTTAAAATTTTTTTATACCACTATGCTTTTACTGTTTCCCCAATTAAGACTTTTGTATCACAATTAGCCCATAAGTGAGGGTTTCTAATGTAAATGCTTTTGTCCATTTAATACAAAGGAACAAAATTAAGTTCTCTTATTTATTCTGGTTTACTACAGGATACTCAAACCAAAAGTATTATTTCAGAGACCAGTAATAAAATTGACGCTGAAATTGCTTCCTTGAAAACACTGATGGAGTCTAACAAACTTGAGACAATTCGTTATCTTGCAGGTAAGACTGTCAGAGAAAGAAATTGCCGCCATCTCATTTTCCTGTTAGTTCCTACCTACCAAGGTAACTGAGCAGGCACAGGAGAAAAAGGAGGAGCTATAAAACACGGCTCCTTTATTGCTTGGTCCCCTGTAGTGCTTAAAGAAGGTTCTAGTCTTAGGATATTTGTCGGATTATTGGGTTTTTTTTTTAATACTTCTAATTTTTATTATAGCAGATTCCAAATTAGACATAGCCAAAGGAAGGAACATATAGGGTGTAGTATGGGACAGTTCTAAATGTTAAGCTGCTTTCATCCTCACAGATAGATGTGTTACCCTTCAGAATATAAGTTTAGCAGGCAATTCTGCAGCTTACTAATAGAAAAAGCATGTGGATATAAAAGAAATATATAAACACAAGCACAAAAATGATAGAAGGATAAACTCTGTATTCTACAGTGAAAAAACAAAATGAAAATTTTCTTTGTATTGCTTATGTTCTTCCATAAAGATTTGAATGAGGTTAGAGAAAAAAGATCAAAAAAGTAGATATAAGCCCATTAAAAACCTGGAGGAGGGGGAGATGACCTTACCTTAAATCAACTGATTCAGCACAGATACTACCCCAAAATTAGATTATTTGTCACATACTGAGCTCCTCAGGTACCATTTGACCTGACCCAATTACAGGGCCCAGCCCAGTGATTTAGAAAGAATGCCCTAGTCAACTATTACTTGTCTTTTTTCTTTCCTTTTATAAAAAGTAATGTATTTTCATTATAAACTATTCACAGAATTCAAAAGCAGTAAAAGTGAAAGCACCTCCCCATGTATATTTACTATTAGTAGTAAACATTTTCTAGTCTTCTATATATAAACATCTTATATACTTTATAAAAATAATTAGATCACGTATTTTTTATAGTCTACAATTTTTAAAAATTTGACCAAATGTCCTATTTCTTTCCACATCAATACACACAGACATCTTTTTATTAGAAAGCACAGTATTCCCTATATGAAAATGCTGAAATTTATATATCCAGTCCTCTATTAACAGGCATTCTCCCTCCAGTTTTTCATTATTAAGGACAATACTGTATTGAACAGCCATATATATGTGTTACGTTTGAGTAAATATACATACACACACACATATCTTTGTACCCCCATGCTAGTATTTCTATATAACAACTTGCTATGTACATTTAAATTTTGGGGTCAAAAAGATATGCACATTTAAAATGTTTGATATTAACAAATTGCTGTCTAAAAGAAAACTGCTGGTTTATACTCTTAGTCATTTTCTGGGCAGTCACCACTGATGTTGAGGTGCCAGCAGGGTTGAAGATGGAGCCCCCAGCCATCAGCTGAACCATGGAAGGGGCACAAGTAAAATAGCCTACCTACAAGCATAATTGGAATCAGAACTTACTGTTTACATCTGTGAATGTGTGCCTCAATTTCTCATACCAGCTTTCTCCATAAGTTGGAAACATTAGCACCTAGACTCTTTTATCATTCCACTTTAACTAATCAGGAGAGATTGCCCTCTTTGCTTAGTTCCAATTTGTGAAATCCTCAGAAAGAAGTCTGAATGGTTCATCCTGGGTCAGACACCACCTTTTGATCCAGAACACTGCCACCAAGGAATAATAGCAATTTCCATTTAATCTATGTAGATAATGTGGCAGATTTTGCTCTTGGCAGATAAATAATGAAAGCTAATGTTTACAGAGTGCTTAAAATGTACCAGGCACATGCTCACCTAAGCATTTTACATATATGTAGAATGTCTCCCTAGACAGGGTATAGAGGATAAACAGCAAACTTAAATAATTTGGAGATGGCTCCATAGTTACTACAACAATAGCCATGAGAAATAAAAGCTGAAATAACAGCAGCAAGACATGAGAGAGAAACTTAAATGTAGTAATGATTGTATACTCTACTGAAGGAACAAAATACCTCCCACCTCACAATAAGTAAGTGTTCATTTGGTTATCTAAAATTTAATTTATCAGCTGTTGAATCAGCAAGGATGTAACCACTTAGATAGCACTATGTGACTCAAATAAATGACAGATTGAGTCTTTCAGGTGTCACAGTATATAATAAGGATAACAAATTTTTTGTGTGTTTTTTTATTAAAAGAAAAAAAAAAAGGCGTTGGAGTCAAGTACACTTAGTCTTTTTTTTTTTTTTTTTTTTTTGAGATGGCGTCTCACTCTGTTGCCCAGGCTGGAATGCAGTGGTGCGATCTCAGCTCACTGCAACCTCCGCCTCCCAGGTTCATGCCATTCTCCTGCCTCAGCCTCCCAAGTAGCTGGGACTACATGCGCCCGCCACCATGCCCAGCTAATTTTTTTTTTGTATTTTTAGTAGAGACGGGGTTTCACCGTGTTAGCCAGGATGGTCTCGATCTCCTGACCTCGTGATCTGCCTGCCTCGGCCTCCCAAAGTGCTGGGATTACAGGCGTGAGCCACCGTGCCCAGCCCAAGTACACTTAGTCTTAAATTCTGCCTCCACTATTTGCTAGCGATGTAATTGGGTATAGTACCTCGTCTGTACAACAGGGATAATACCACCAATCTCCTGGTTACTGTGTAATTGCTCAGCATACTAGCATACTACCCGACACGTGGCAAATAGTAGCAGGATCAAATGAGAGAATATATAATTGCCCAGTGGCAGTAAGACTAGAAACTTTGTGTTATTACTTCTCAAATGTCCTCTGTATTTCTTAGAGATGCCTAATCCCATTTATTAAAACTGAGACAATGATCTTATCATTAACCAAGTTTCAGTAAGTAGTAGGATCAAATGGGATGGTGTACAAATGGGTTTATACATTATGAATAACTTTACTTTGAAAGGCTAATTTCTTGTGTCTTTATTCACAAAAGTTTTCTCTTCATCTCTAACTTGTTTGTTTTTAAAATTCATTCATTGGTATTTTAAACAAACTGGAAACTAGGGAGTCCCTAAAGGCCACACACAGACTTACCTTCTAAAAGCTGGGAAAACTGAATTTTTTTTTAATCCAAAATTATGTAACATAAAGTACAGGTAGTATATTAACTATTTTAAAAACCTGATGCTGCTTCTGCCTTTTCTTCTACCTCATTGAGTTTAAAGAGTTTTTATTAAGATTTTTTTTTAACAATTACGAGAAATTATTTTAAAATGCACTGAAAAGGCAATTAAAATTCTCTTCTCATAGATATATGTATATTTTACTAGCCTAACTACATAATTTTTAATACAAGAAAGATTTCATTTATCATGAGATCTGAAGTTAGAGCTTATAATTATTTATAGTAGTCAATAATGCTAATGTTAATGATTTTAAATACAGTTTATATGTTCTAAATGACATATAATTTACATTTGAATATACAGGTGCTTTTAAGAATTGGGCATTAATGCTGTCCTTAAGAATGTCTTTCATCCTTAATTTTCTAGGGAATAAAAAACAGGATAGAAAATTGCTTGGATTTCCTGTTTTTTTTGCTCTTCACTTAAAGATAACATTATTCTCATTAGCTCTGCAAAATAATACAAATACAAGACCTATAACACAGTTTCTTCTTTTCACAGCTTCGGTGTTTACTTGCCTGGCAATAGCATTGGGATTTTATAGATTCTGGAAGTAGTAGTAATGCTCATACTGCCATGGCTGTTGGCTTCTTAGAACACCAAACCAGGAGAGATTTACTTTGAACATTGTCAGTTGCAGCAAAAATTTACTACACAAGATTATTCAAAGTATATATGGACTAAAAGAGGAATATTTTAGAAAGAGATATTTTGTCTTTATTGTGTGTGTCTTTAGTATATTGAAAAGCTGTCATTCAGACCTGGTTTGAGATGGAAGAGCATTTCGTCCTTTTTGATAGTTAATAGAAATCGAACCAGAGTTTTCTTGTGTTTGCTTGAACAATTGTGTAAATCATACAGGATTTTGTTGGTATTGGTTGAATATTTGAAAACTATTCCCTAGCCTACATATTTATTACTGAATTAACTTTCCTGATAACCATTGCATAATTACATTTTTTTTTATAAAATAAAAGACTATTACAACAAAGTTGTGTGGGTTTTAAAAGTAACTTACCATATAGCGGGAGATTGATTTCTTTTTGGTAATGAACTAAAACAATAAATTTTAAAATGATTGATAGGCCAGGTGCGGTGGCTCACACCGGTAATCTCAGCACTTTGGGAGGCTGAGGCAGGCGGATCACTTGAGGTCAGGTGTTCTAGACCAGCCTGGCCAACATGGTGAAACCCTGTCTCTACTGAAAATACAAAAATTGGCCAGATGTGGTGGTGCATGCCTGTAATCCCAGCTACTTGGGAGGCTGAGGCAGGAGAATTGCTTGAACCTGGGAGGAAGAGGTTGCAGTGAGCTGAGATAGCGCCACTGCACTCCAGCCTGGGTGACAGAGCAAGACTCCATTTCATAAATAAATGTGTGCTTTAGTGCAAATGTACACCACTTAATATGAAATCTGTAGAGGTGCTAAATATTGAGCTCTGATTATTGCATGTATTTTTAAAATATCTGATACTCAAAAACCAGTTTATCCCTGCTTCTTAACCTAGTTTAAGTTAACCCATCTTAAATTTATTACATAAAACAAAGCTTTCCTTAATGACTTAAATTCAGCAAACATTTATTGATATCTAGTACCTACTCTCAAGAAACTCATAGGAAAATTTAAATTCTAGTTTTGTTATTAGATGTATATTTTTTCTTACAAAGTAATATCTATTAGTAAATCATAAGTAATTTCAAAGAAATTTTAAAATGTCCTTTTCATCTTAGTTCTTCAGTTTTATCCAGATCAAGAAGACAAGACCAAAAAGTAAACATTTTGATTTCATAATGCCTTGGTAATAGCTATAAAAGTTGGACAAAATCAGTTATTCAAAATAACCTTGTCATTTGTTTAGCTATAAACAAACAGGGAATCTGCAGCATAGAGTAGTCAAGAGATTGGTCCATATGGTCCAGTGAGTTAGAGAGTCAGAGGCTTTCCAACTATATTTTCCTCAAAAATCTAACTGCTGATTTGTTTTCAAAAGAAAAACTCTTGACATTATCCTGTTGCATTCTGATTCATTTTTATCTCACAATCCTATTGCCTAAGAGAGTTCTTAGCACATTGTACATGAATTTCTACTGGGTCAATTAATAAGTGACCATATATATTAAAGTCCACTGTAACAAAGTACACTGCATTTGTTCAATTAACCAGTATGACTGCCTGCTATATGCCAAACAGCATGCTAGTCCCTTTGTGCACAGAGATAAACATGGTTTTATTCTTATTGAATTGATAATCTTAGTGAAGGAGAGAGACATTAAGCAAGTAAATAAATTAGTAGTCTGTTAAGATTTAAAATACTCTAAAATATTAAGAGGGAATGTGTCTCTCCTCCATGGGAAGGAAGCTCCAGTAGCATAACATTATCGTCATTCTTCATTCCCTTATCCAGTCTGCCCTGGGTAAAGTGACTTGCCCAACTGTAAATCTAGTAGAAGAAACAAGGCGCAATTAGCCTACTTCCTCCCCACTCCTATTTGGGACCAGCCTATCTGAAGAGACATTCATTCTATTCTGCTTCTGTGGGATCAGGCTCTGCCTCTGCAGAGACAGGGTCTCATGTGTTGCCAGGCTGGAGTGCAGTGACTATAGGCATGATCATCTTTAGCCTTGATGAACTCCTTGGCTCAAGCAATCCTGCTGCCTCAGCCTCCAAAGTAGCTAGGACTACAGATGTGTGCCACTGTGCTCAGCAAGAGAATATGGGTTTTATCTTAAGGCCAGTAAGCTTCCTATCACTGAACTCTAGAATTGGACAGATTTACCCTGTCTCAAGCATTGCTCTACTGGGCCAGACCCTTAACCTGCTGAACTGGTTTCAGCAATCAAATGCACTGTTGTCACAGCAAACTATTTCTGGTGATATTAGGTCAGAATGACTTTAGTATCCACATGAAGTACATGCAAGGGTCCAAAGGGTGTCTATGGAATGGTGAGATGGCTGCTGCCACGGAAGCCCAAAACCAGTGACAGATCTTCAGGGGGAGACAAAAGCGACACAGCTGGCCCCAAGAGAGTCATAAATCTTTCCTAGCTCATGGAGGGAATAGAAGAGAAAAGAGAGGGGGGTAGGAAAAAAGAGGGAATTGAAGTCAGAACTGAACTGAAAAGCCATAGCTGTTTTTTTAGTTGGCCAAGCACTACTACTCTTTAAGATCAAGTGGAAAAAGAGGAAAAACTAAAGCTAAGTGTTTCTTATCCTGACCAATCTGCCTCTTCTCTATATTCTTAAAAACCTTGCAGTTATGTCATTTGAAAAAAAAATTTTTTTAAACATATCCACACTAGAAGTGAAGGGTACTCTCTAGAAAGTGAAAGACATAGAAGATGGCCGAATAGGAACAGCTCCAGGCTATAGCTCCCAGCATGAGCGACACAGAAGACAGGTGATTTCTGCATTTCCAACTGAGGTACCGGGTTCATCTCACTGGGGCGTGTCAGACAGTGGGTGCAGGACAGAGGGTGCAGCCCACCGAGTGAGAGCCAAAGCAGGGCGAGGCATCGCCTCACCCAGGAAGTGCAAGGGGTAAGGGAATTCCCTTTCCTAGCCAAGGGAAACCATGACACACAGCACCTGGAAAATTGGGTCACTCCCACCCTAATACTGTGCTTTTCCAAGGGTTTGAGCAAACGGCACACCAGGAGATTTTATCCCACACTTGGCTGGGAGGGTCCCACACCCATGGAGCCTCTCTTATTACTAGCACAGCAGTCTGAGATCTAACTGCAAGGTGGCAGTAAGGCTGAAGGAGGGACGCCTGCCATTCCTGAGGCTTGAGTAGGTAAACAAAGTGGCCAGGAAGCTCGAAAAGGATGGAGCCCACCGTAGTTCAAAGAGGCCTGCATGCCTTTGTAGACTCCAGCCAAGTGTAGACTCTGGAGATAAGGCATAGCCAGGGACAAGGCACAGCCAAACAAAAGGCAGCAGAAACCTCTGCAGATTTAAATGTCCCTGTCTGACAGCTTTGAAGAGAGTAGTAGTTCTCCCAGCACGGAGTTTGAGATCTGAGAAAGGACAGACTGCCTCCTTAAGTGGGTCCCTGACCCCAAGTAGCCTAACTGAAAGGCACCCCCGAGTAGGGCAAACTGACACCTCACACGGCCGGGTACCCCTCTGAGCCAAAGCTTCCAGAGGAACGATCAGGCAGCAACACTTGCTGTTCAGCAATATTCACTCTTCTGCAGCCTCCACTGCTGATACCCAGGCAAACAGGGTCTGGACTGGACCTCCAGCAAACTCCAACAGACCTGCAGCTGAGGGTCCTGACTGTTAGAATGAAAACTAACAAACAGAAAGGACATCCACACCAAATACCCATCTGTACATCACCATCATCAAAGACCAAAGGTAGATAAAACCACAAAGATGGGGAAAAAACAGAGCAGAAAAGCTGAAAATTCTAAAAATCAGAGTGCCTCACCCCCTTTAAAGGAATGCAGCCCCTCACCAGCAACAGAACAAAGCTGGATGGAGAAAGACTTTGACGAGTTGAGAGAAGAAGGCTTCAGATGATCAAACTTCTCCGAGCTAAAGGAGGAGGAGATTCAAACCGATCGCAAAGAAGCTAAAAACCTTGAAAAACGAATGGCTTAGACGAATGGCTAATTAAACAATGTATAGAAGTCCTTAAATGACTTGATAGAGCATGGCACAAGAACTACATGACAAATACACAAGCTTCATTAACCGATTCAATCAACTGGAAGAAAGAGTATCAGTGACTGAAGTTCAAATGAAATGAAGCAAGAAGTAAAAATAAAACAAAGAAAGAATAAAAATAAATAAATAAACATAAAAAATAAAACGAAAGAGTAAAAATAAATGAACAAAGCCTCGAAGAAACATGGGACTATGTGAAAAGACCAAATCTACGTCTGACTGGTGTACCTGAAAGTGACAGGGAGAATGGAACCAAGTTGGAAAACACTCTTCAGGATATTATCCACGAAAACTTCCCCAATCTAGCAAGGCAGGCCAACATTCAAATTCAAGAAATACAGAACACCACAAAGATATTCCTCGAGAAGAGCAACTCCAAGACACATAATTGTCAGATTCACCAAAGTTGAAATGAAGGAAAAAATGTTAAGGGCAGCCAGAGAGAAAGGTCAGGTTACCCACAAAGGGAAGCCCATCAGACTAACAGTGGATCTCTTGGCAGAAACTCTACAAGCCAGAAGAGAGTGGGAGGCCAATATTCAACATTCTTAAAGAAAAGAATTTTCAACCCAGAATTTCATATCCAGCCAAACTAAGTTTCATAAGTGAAGGAGAAATAAAATCCTTTACAGACAAGCAAATGCTGAGAGATTTTGTCACCACCAGGCCTGCCCCACAAGAGCTCCTGAAGGAAACACTAAACATGGAAAGGAACAACCGGTACCAGCCAGCGCAAAAACATGACAAAATGTAAAGACCATCAATGCTAGGAAGAAACTGCATCAAATAACAAGTAAAATAACCAGCTAACATCATAATGACAGGATCAGATTCACACATAACAATATTAACCTTAAATGTAAATGGGCTAAATGGCTCTAATTAAAAGAGATACAGACTGGCAGATTGGATAAAGAGTCAAGACTCATCAGTTTGCTGTATTCAGGAGACCCATTACATGTGCAGAGACACACATAGGCTCAAAATACAGGGATAAAAGATGATCTACCAAGCAAATGGAAAACAAAAAAAGGCAGGGGTTGCAATCCTAGTCTCTGATAAAACAGACTTTAAACCAACAAAGATCAGAAGAGACAAAGCAGGCCATTACATAATGGTAAAGGAATCATTTCAACAAGAAGAGCTAACTATCCTAAATATATATGCACCCAATACAGGAGCACCCAGATTCATAAAGCAAGTCCTTAGAGACTTACAAAGAGACTTATATTCCCACACAATAATAATGGGAGACTTTAACACCCCACTGTCAACATTAGACAGATCAATGAGACAGCAAGTTAACAAGGATATCCAGGAGTTCAACTCAGCTGTGCACCAAGCGGACCTAATAGATATCTACAGAGTTCTCCACCCCAAATCAATGGAATATACATTCTTCTCAGCACCACATCACACTTACTCCAAAATTGACCACATAGTTAGAAGTAAAGCATTCCTCAGCAAATGTAAAAGAACAGAAATTATAACAAACTGTCTCTCAGACCACAGTGCAATCAAACTAGAACTCAGGATTAAGAAACTCACTCAAAACCACTCAACTACATGGAAACTGAACAACCTGCTCCTGAATGACTACTGGGTACATAACGAAATGAAGGCAGAAATAAAGATGTTCTTTGAAACCAATGAGAACAAAGATACAACATACCAGAATCTCTGGGACATATTTAAAGCAATGTATAGAGGGAAATTTATAGCACTAAATGCCCACAGGAGAAAGCAGGAAAGATCTAAAATTGACACCCTAACATCACAATTGAAAGAATTAGAGAAGCAAGAGCAAATACATTCAAAAGCCAGCAGAAGGCAAGAAATAACTAAGATCAGAGCAGAACTGAAGGAGATAGAGACACAAAAAACCCTTCAAAAAATCAATGAATCCAGGAGTTGGTTTTTTGAAAAGATCAACAAAATTGATAGACTGCTGGCAAGACTAATAAAGAAGAAAAGAGAGAAGAATCAAATAGACGCAATAAAAAATGATAAAGGGAATATCACCACTGACCCCACAGAAATACAAACTACCATCAGAGAATACTATAAACGCCTCTATGCAAATAAACTAGAACACCTAAAGAAATGGATAAATTCCTGGACACATACACCCTCCCAAGACTAAACCAGGAAGAAATTGAATCCCTGAATAGACCAATAAGAAGCTCTGAAATTAAGGCAATAATTAATGGCCTACCAACCAAAAAAGTACAGGACCAGACAGATTCACAGCCAAATTCTACCAGAGGCACAAAGAGGAGCTGTACAAAATAGTTTCCTTCTGAAACTATTCCAATCAACAGAAAAAGAGGGAATCCCCCCTAACTCATTTTATGAGACTGACATCATCCTAATACCAAAGCCTGGCAGAGACACAACAACAAAAGAATTTTAGAGCAATATCTGTGATGAACATTGATGCGAAAATCCTCAATAAAATACTGGCAAACCGAATCCAGCAGCACATCAAAAAGCTTATCCACCACCATTATGTCGGCTTCATCCCTGGGATGCAAGGGTGGTTCAACATATGCAAATCAATAAACGTAATCCATCACATAAACAGAACCAAAAACAAAAACTACATGATTATCTCAACAGATGCAGAAAAGGCCTTTGACAAAATTCAACAGCCCTTCATGCCAAAAACTCTCAATAAACTAGGTATTGATGGGCCGTATCTCAAAATAAAGAGCTATTTATGACAAACCCACAGCCAATATCGTACCGAATGGGCAAAAACTGGAAACATTCCCTTTGAAAACTGGCACAAGACAGGGATGCCCTCTCTCTCCACTCCTATTCAACATAGTGTGGGAAGTTCTGGCCAGGACAATCAGGCAGGAGAAATAAATAAAGAGTATTCAATTAGGAAAAGAGGAAGTCAAATTGTCCCTGTTTGCAGATGACATGATTGTATATTAAGAAAACCCCATCGTCTCAGCCCAAAATCTCCTTACGCTGATAGGCAACTTCAGCAAAGTCTCTGGATTCAAAATCAATGTGCAAAAATCACAAGCATTCTTATACACCAATAACAGACAAAAAGAGAGTCAAATCATGAGTGAACTCCCATTCACAATTGCTTCAAAGAGAATAAAATACCTAGGAATCCAACTTAAAGGGATGTGAAGGACCTCTTCAAGGACAACTACAAACCACTGCTCAATGGAATAAAAGAGGAAACAAACAAATGGAAGAATATTCCATGCTCATGGACAGGAAAAATCAATATCATGAAAATGGCCATACTGCCCAAGGTAATTAATAGATTCAATGCCATCCCCATTAAGCTACCAACGACTTTCTTCACAGAATTCAAAAAAACTACTTTCAAGTTCATATGGAACCAGAAAAGAGCCCACATTGCCAAAACAATCCTAAGCCAAAAGAACAAAGCTGGAGGCATCACACTACCTGACTTCAAACTATACAACAAGACTACAGTAACCAAAACAGCATGGTATTGGTACCAAAACAGAGATGTAGACCAATGGAACTGAACAGAGCCCTCAAATAATGCCACACATGTATAACCATCTGATCTTTGACAAACCTGACAAAAACAAGAAATGGGGAAAGGATTCCCTATTTAATAAATGGTGCTGGGAAAACTGGCTAGCCCTATGTAGAAAGCTGAAACTGGATCCCTTTCTTACACCTTATACAAAAATCAATTCAAGATGGATTAGAGAGTTAAATATTAGACCTAAAACCATAAAAACCCTAGAAGAAAACCTAGGCAATACCATTTAGGACATAGGCATGGGCAAGAACTTCATGTCTAAAACACCAAAAGCAATGGCAACAAAAGCCAAAATTGACAAATGGGATCTAATTAAACAAGAGCTTCTGCACAGCAAAAGAAACTACCATCAGAGTGAACAGGCAACCTGCAGAATGGGAGAAAAGTTTTGCAATCTACCCATCTGACAAAGGGCTAATATCCAGAACCTACAAAGAATTCAAACAAATTTACAAGAAAAGAACAACCCCATCAAAAAGTGGGCAAAGGACATGAACAGACATGTCTCAAAAGAAGACATTTATGTACCCAACAGACACATGAAAAAAAATGCTCATCATCACTAGCCACCAGAGAAATGCAAATCAAAACCACAATGAGATACCATCTCACACCTAGTTAGAACGGCAATCATTAAAAAGTCAGGAAACAACAGGTGCTGGAGAAGATGTGGAGAAATAGGAACACTTTTACACTGTTGGTGGGACTGTAAACTAGTTCAACCATTGTGGAAGACAGTGTGGCGATTCCTCAAGGATCTAGAACTAGAAATACCATTTGACCCAGCCATCCCATTACTGGGTATATACCCAAAGGATTATAAATCATGCTGCTATGAAGACACATGCACACGTATGGTTATTGCGGCACTATTCACAATAGCAAAGTCTTGGAACCAACCCAAATGTCCATCAATGACAGACTGGTTTTAGAAAATGTGGCACATACACACCATGGAATACTATGCAGCCATAAAAAAAAGATGAGTTTATGTCCTCTGTAGGAACATAGATGCAGCTGGAAACCATCATTCTCAGCAAACTATCGCAAGACAGAAAACCTAACACCGCATGTTCTCACTCATAGGTAGGAATTGAAGAATGAGAACACTTGGACACAGGGTGGGGAACATCACACACCGGGGCCTGTCGTGGGGGAGGGGTGGTGGGGAGGGATAGCATTAGGAGATATACCTAATGTAAATGATGAGTTAATAGGTGCAGCACACCAACATGGCACATATATCCATATGTAACAAACCTGCACGTTATGCACATGTATCCTAGAACTTAAAGTATAAATTAAAAAAAAGAAAGTGAACTATAACTAGATTTCTTTTGATTACTATACCAGCTATTTTAAAGCTTATGTAAATACTTGTAAAATTAATTACTCATAAATCTCGTCTTGCCTGTGTAGGGTTATATAAGAATAATATCAGGAGAAGGTGTACAACTGAGTCCATGTCATTTAAAAAATCTCTAAATCTCTTTAACATTTCTGCCTTCAGAATTGGAATAGAAGCATATCAGAGTAATTCTGAGAGAGTTTGTATAGACTTACATTTATATCAATTTTTTTAATGAAAGAGAAAAATCTAGCAGGTTAATTTAGTCATTTCACTGATTAGTACCTTCTCACAAACACTCCTCCAGAAGAAACCTTTTTTTTTACTCGCCTCTTCTCTTTGTTTGACTCACAAGAAGCGCTGTCTTCCTATAAACAAAGGAAAAGAGGGTCAAATACAATTTTCATGCTAGCACACATTTTCGTCTTTCTACATTGCCTATTCAAAAGAAAAAAAATTAACCATGCTAGTATTTTCAACTCTGATTAAATTTCTTTTAGGATTTTTTGTGAATAAATTCCCAAATCTGAAGTACCAGTGTATTATATTGTGCTGAATCGTATGACTAGGAGGCAACTTAAGAACTAGAGAAAGAATATAGAAAATTTAGTGGGTAAGAGGTGGCTACTTATCAGATATAGCCAATTTTCAATGTTATCTCATTCAGTTTTATCTCTACCTAAAGATCCCCAGACACTAATATTTAACAAGATATTGGTAACTGAAAGTGTTAGTATGTCATCTTCTGGATTCTTTTGCCAGTCCCATAGTGCTGCGAATAATTCCGTAGCTTCCCCATTCCCTCTTTTGTTTTTGTACTTGATCCCTCTACTGCTCTAGTCTCATTGTGCACTTTGCCTAGTCTCCTGGTCTCACTGTTTCTGAATATTTCTTGTCCATCTTGGTATTCTTAAGACCCAGCACGGAAGAATCAATAAATACTATGGTAAGGAGCAAGCAGGGCTGGAAACACAATGAGTGGTCACTAGATGTTAATTATCTTTGAGTAATTCTTCCAATCAAAAATGCTATGCATCTAGTTAGGCAGGACAGCTCTGAACACAGACGCTCCAAGAACAGCACAAGGACCATGTCCCTGGGGAGAGCCCATGGCTGGAGTTAGTTCCCCAGGGTGTTCCTGCCCACACCTTTTCTAATGAGTCCAGTTAGTTTAACTCAATAGTGTGTGAACATGGAAGTAAGCTGCCATTATCCAACACCGCCTGGAAAAACAACCATGCATCTGGTCCCTCCCATATCCCTCAGCTGCAAACTTGAGAGTAGGATAAACTTCTAGCTTTCTCTTATAGTGGCCAGGTGTTTGTGGGCATAGGGCAATACAGATGGTCTCTTCTCTTGGAAAAAAAGCTTAGCGGCCAGTCTGAAGAAAAATAACAAACCTTTGATTGGGACTTAGCATATGATACAACTGTTCTTCGTACTATACATAAAAAATAAAGTGTAGTGAGTAGCATTACCAATATTTTAAAGATGAGGCCAGGTGCGGTGGCTCACGACTATAATCCCAGCACTTTGGGAGGCCAAGGCAGGCAGATCACTTGAGGTCAGGAGTTCAAGACTAGCCTGGCCAACCCTATCTCCATTAAAAATACAAAAATTAGCTGGGCTTGGTGATGCATGCCTGTAATCCCAGCTGCTCAGGAGGCTGAGGCATAAGAATCGCTTGAACCCAGGAGACAGAGGTTGCAGTGAGCCGAGATTGTGCCACTGCACTCCAGCTTGGGCGACAGAGCAAGACCCTGTCTCAAAAGAAAAAAGAAAAACACTCAGGTGGGGCAGGAGTTTAACCTAATCTAACTAGATGGAATTAGAGAAAGAATATAGAAAATTTAGGGGGAAGAGGTGGCTACTTGTCAGATATAGCCAATTTTCCAGTGCTGTAATAAGAGTTATGACTTCCAGAAACAGGCAGGGTATGGTGGCTCACATCTGTAATCCCAGCGCTTTAGGAGGCTGTCGTGGGCAGATCGCTTTCAGCTCAGGAGTTTGAGACCAACCTGGACAACAATCCCCCCTCTCTACAAAAAATACAGAAAAAATTTAGCTGGGCATGGTGGCTCATGCCTGTAGTCCCAGCTACTCACGAGGCTGAGGCTGGAGGATTGCTTAAGCCTGGGAAGTGGAGGCTGCAGTGAGCCGAGATCATGACCCTGAATGCCAGCCAGGGCACAGAGTGAGACTCTGTCTCAAAAAAATTAATTAAAGAGTTCCAAAGACAGTAATACTTATTTTTCTTTACCTTTTATATATTAGAAGAGACCTTAAGGATTCCAAATTTTCTAGAAACAGTGGTTAAATAACAAAGTCGCTCCTAACACCAAATATGTAACTTGTTCTATCAAACCAAGTCTTGAAATACAACTACTTCAAAAGAAAATATGTGCTTGGCATTCAACAGGCCTTCCATAATTGTTCACTGAAGGTTCCATATCTCCAAATTTCTAAAAGCTTCTGCATTTGGAGAACATTTTTCACCAAGATTACTCATTTCTTTATCTTACATTATAGCCAGGAAGTATATTTCTCCCTAATACATGTTTTCTCCTAAACTCAACAGAACTATATATTAAGATGCTAAATACATGAATCATAATGCTTAAGCACCAAAAGCAATTCTAAATGTAAATGCAATCTATTACTACAACAAAATTAGACAAAAATCCTTGTGGTGAAAATGTATATATTTTTTTACCCTGAAAGAATTAACAGGTTTGTTGAACAGATTAAAATTCTACACATAAAACTGTTGACTTTGTGGATCTACCAATTATTGCTGGGATATATGGAATTCTTATTTTTCAAAAAGCCTATGCACTCTGAAAATTCTAGACAGCATATGAAACTATAAGAGAATTCCACCTTCTTGCTTACCAGTACAGACCCTTAACAGTGTCAAAACCAACCCTTCTCCCCCAAAAAAGTAGGGTATAAACAAAGAGAAAGAAAGGCAAATCACAAACTTTTAGAACTTCCCCAAGCCAAGAGTTAAATGTGGATAAACTCCCTGAAATCCTCAAATTACTCCACGGGCCACTCTAGGTACATAAGCTAGGATGTCATAGGTCAGAGAGAAGCCCAGCAGAAACCATATCAAAGTTCAACCTTGTTCCAGACCTTTGTAGGTAGAAAATAAGGTTAAGTGAAACATGGAAGGTAACCGTGGAATATTGCCAGTTCCCGGTTAGCCATTCTTGATTAGCAAACATGGCCCAAAGCTGTAGATCAAGTACTTCCTGAATAATACTGGTTCTGGAGACAGAAGCTATGAGTTCAGTGCTACATAAATCTCTCTGTGGACAGACAGCTCTGCCAAAGCTATTACATTATATTTAAGTATATATTTAAATATATATATATAAAATACTTAAAACATTAGTTTAAATTTACTGTTTTAAGTACTATATATATATCAAAGAGCACAAAGGAAAAAAAGGTACAGCTTGATGCATTTTGTGACCATGACTGAGATCAAGAGATTGGACATTACCAGCATCCCAGAAGCCTCCATTTGCCCCTCCTAGGCACTACTGACTTATCTTACCGATTTGTGGACTACATGGAATCATACAGTATGTACTCTTTCATATTGCTTTCTTTTAGTCAGCACAGTGTTTGTGAAATTCATTCGTAGTGATGTGTAGAGTAGTAATTCATACATTTTCATTGCTATATAATATTCCATTGTATGAATATAGCAAAATGTATTGATTCTTACTGTTGAGGGAATTTTTAGATGATTCTAGTTTGAGAGATATATATAATAAGGCTGACAAGAACATTCATGTATATATTTTTTGGTGTCCACCTGTGTACACAAAGAAACATGTACTAATTCCACTAGGAATTAATTTTCCAAAGTGGTAAAGCCAATTTACACTGCCACCATTGGTATATAAAATCTCCAGTTTTTCCACATCCTCACCAACATTTGGTAACGTCCATTTTAATTTTTGCCATTCTGATGGGTATATATTGGTATCTTCTTTGGGTTTTAATTTACATTTCTAATAACCAGTGATTTTGAGCACAATTTCATGTTTACTGGCCCACTTGGATATCTTCTTTTGTGAAGTGCCTATGCAAGTCTTGCCCAGTTTTTTTACTGGACTGTCTTTTTCACATTGATTTGTATAAGTTCTTTATATATTCTGGATACAACTTTTTCAGATAGGAATGAAGAAAGAAAAGCAGAGAGAAAGAAAGGAAATATGTTTTTCTACACTTTGGCTTGCCTTTTCAAATCTGTTCATATAATCTTTGATGAACTGAAGTCTTATTTTAATGAAGTCCAGTCTACCCATTTTTTCCTACCCCAAGGTCATGAAGATATCCTATGTTATATTTTATCATCTCAACTTCCAATTTAAGACATATCTTGAAATATATGTTTGAACTTATAGTGTAACATTTTAACAAAATTTTTTTAAGTTTTCATAAGTAAATTAACCCTATTAAAAAGCTATCATCAGGCCAGGCACAGTGGCTCACACATGTAATCCCAGCACTTTGGGAGGTGGAGGTGGGTGGATCACAAGGTCAGGAGTTCAAGACCAGCCTGGCCAAGATAGTGAAACCCCGTCTCTATTAAAAATACAAAAAAATTAGCCAGGCGTGGTGGTGGGCGCCTGTACTCCCAGCCACTTGGGAGGCTGAGGCAAAGAACTGCTTGAACCTGGGAGATGAGGTTGCAGTGAGCCAAGATCACGCCACTGCTCTCCAGTCTGGGCAACAGAGCGAGACTCGTCTCAGAAAAAAAAAAAAAAAAAAAAAGCTATCATCAGAAGTTTTCAAAGAAACAGTTTCAAAATAAATGTTCCTAAAAGCACAGAAAGAGGGAGTGTGAGGGGTTTATAATAGCAGTAACAAGTGGTGTTAAAAGCATAGACTTGGGGCTAGACAGGTTGAAATCATGGCTAGCCATCTAACAAGCTTTGTAACTTTATAAATTGTTCATTTTATCTGAGAGTTGATTTCTTCATTTGTAAAATGAAGATGGTATCTGCTGAATATAAAGTCTTAACACTAAGCCCAATATACTCAAAACCTGTTGTTAATGATGACCAAGATGATGTTATTAACATAAGTTAAATGATCTCATAAAACTTAGATTTTCAGTACTGTGGGTAAACTAAGTGCCCAATCATGCTGTATTACAAATGACAAGAAGCCCTCAGACCAGTACAAGGTGCTTGATGGAAGGAGAGATCACGTGTGACCAGGGAGACTAGGAAAGGGGTGATAAATGAGACGGTTCCTAGGGGATTTTACAGAGTCAACAGGCAGTTTTCAAGGTATATGGACAAATTGAACAAAGGCTTAATGATGGGAAAGCATAAGGTAGCTTAAGAAAAAATAAGCTATTAATATATGTAGGAGAATAGACAAAAATAAGGTTGGTGAGGTAGGTTAGGGCTGAATGTCAAACTGAAGAATCAGTACTTATTCAGGTAAGGAAGATTTTCAATACAAGGAGTGACAAGAAAATCAAGCTGACCACTGTGAGTCAAATGGATTTGGATAGGGAAGGAGTAAATACCAAAATTCTATCACAGTAGTTCAGAAAGAAAGATATAGAAACCTAAACTAGGGAAGCAGCGAAAGTAGAGAGCATGTTCCCACCTACGGGATGGGCTCACTTTTTGTATGACCTAAAGGAGAAAACATAGCTAATCATTAAGAGTCCAAGACTGAGGCCGGGCGCGGTGGCTCAAGCCTGTAATCCCAGCACTTTGGGAGGCCGAGACGGGCGGATCACGAGGTCAGGAGATCGAGACCATCCTGGTTAACACGGTGAAACCCCGTCTCTACTAAAAAATACAAAAAACTAGCCGGCCAAGGTGGCGGACGCCTGTAGTCCCAGCTACTCGGGAGGCGGAGGCAGGAGAATGGCGTGAACCCGGGAGGCGGAGCTTGCAGTGAGCTGAGATCCGGCCACTGCACTCCAGCCTGGGTGACAGCGCGAGACTCCATCTCAAAAAAAAAAAAAAAAAAAAAGAGTCCAAGACTGGGTAGTTGAGAAAATAGTGATGCCATTAATTTAAATGCAGAGATAGGGGAGAGAATCTGGTCTTGATATTGTGCTTGGTTCTGAACATTTTTTTTTTTTAATTCAAGCACCACTGGGAATTTCAGGTGGAAATGTCCAGTTGACAAGCAGTGAGAAATACAGGTGGGGAGCCCTGGTGGGGACAACAGTACTAAAGTATGGATTTGATAGTCATTTCCACAGAAGTATTAGAAAAATATAATCTGGAGGCAGAGATTCTGAGTTTGCCCTTGCCTTATACTAGCTGTATGCTCTAACAAGACTCTCAACTTCTCTGAGCCTCTGCTTTCTCATTTATAACATGGGATCAAATATATATATATCATTCTACCTCCTCATAGGGTTGATGCAGACTAAAATGAGATAATATCTGAGAAAGTGCTATAAAAACAGCTGTTATCAAAAAAGTGCTTTATATATGTCAAACTATCCTAGGAAACTATTCTAAGATTTTTTTTTCTCAGTAAAAATTGTACTATTGCTGATTATTTTGGGGTCTGAGGATCTTAAGGTACAATAGAATGCAATCATAGGTCCTGACCAGAAGGTGGCAGGAGAAAGACTTAGAGCTTCTTGAGGATTCCATATTTATAGTTCTGAATGATAAGTTCATTTTACTTATACTTTATATATAATTAGACTCCCAAATAAATTCTTCCTATCTTTAGCTGCATGTGGCTCTACACGTTTATTTATCCACTGACCGTATCAATTCATCTGTAATATAGAAAATGGAAAAAAAGAAAGGGAGTAAATAATACAACGACTACTACTATATAGTGAATACCTCTGTGTGCTAGAAACCGCATTCAGGATTTCTACACAATATTCCATTTAACATCAATACAATCCTATGAGGTAGGTATTATTATTCCTCATTTTAAAGACAAGGAAATTGAGATTCAAGCTTTTGCAAGTGAAAATAAACAGTGCCAGAGTTGCAACTGCCTTGAAAGCTCAGTGACATTTGCTTATTTACAAAAATTAGGTATAACCTAAAGCAAGAATGCAAAAAACAATGAATTCTGAGCACAGGGACCTTGAGTCAGCTCTCCTGAAAGCCTACACATTGTTGGTAAAGTGAAGTTTTAGGGAAGCAAAACTGTGGAGTATGAAACCAGATCCAACCTGAGAACAGATGCTTCTGAGTAAGCAACGAGAATTTCTAAATAGCTAAAAGACAGAAAACATTTCTAAGTAGACAGTTTGGAATGGTTCAAAAGAAAATGTGTAGCTTGGGTGACCACCCCAAAATATTGTCCCACCTAGGCAGCTGAAGAACAACTTAGCCTTGACAACAAAGCAAGATCCCTACCTTACAGAAAAAAAATAAAAAAAATAAAAAAAACTAATTGGCCAGGTGTGTTGGTGCATGCCTATAGTCCCAGCTACCTAGGAGGCTGAGGCAAGAGGATCAGTTGAACCTAGGGAGTTTGAGGCTACAGTGCCCTATGATGGCACCACTCCACTGAAGTATGGGTGACAAGAGCAACACCCTGTGTCAAAAAAAGAAAAAACAAAGAACGACAACTTACCTTTCTACTTTTGAGGAGACTGGGAGTCACAGAGTCCCTGCCACAAGGTGGAGAGGTAACAGATTTGATTGGAAGCAGTAAGTTATAAATGGTACTGTGTCCTGTAGCCCTCTAACCAACACATGACTGTATAGCTGGCCTCTCTGATACTAAAGTTTCCCCATGTGCTAAAGGTTGTACAAGAAGAGGGTTGCAAAATGAAGAGAATAGATTAATTATTATAGTTAATTATATTTCTTGGAAAATCAACCACTGGTGAGACAACAAAACCCAGAGAAACTGAGGAAGTGATTATATTTGCATATGCATAGAAATACACATGCATGTTTGCAGATAAATAGAATTTTGTCTAATATGGTATGTACTAAATTGTTAACAATAACTTCTTCTGGAGAGTGGAACTTAGTGTCAGAAGGAACATCTATCTTGTTTTTAACACTATACAACAAACATGTTTTATTATTTTAATATTTTTAAAGTGGTTATTGAAGAGACCAATGACTAGTTTGTGCAAAATAAAAAGAAGCCAGGAAGATTCTATAATATTAATAGATCAGATTTGAGGTGACACAAGCCTCAAACAGAATTAATTCATCCATGATGACTGATGAAGAAACTTCCCTATGGAAAGAAAATATGGATTCCATTCAAAGCACTTTATTTTGGTTATTCAGAATATTAAAATATACATATCCTCTAGCTGTCTTAGAATTCTTATTGATTACTCTGCTTATAAGAATATTTTCTCCTTCTATGGTACAATATTAAAAATAATACTTAGGAACCAGGCTGCTGTTTGAAGATAGATAGATAGATAGATAGATAGATAGATAGATAGATAGATAGATAGATAGATAAAGACAGATGTGTGTGTGTATATAGAAAGTTACATATAGTGTGTGTGTGTACATATATTCCTTTAATCCTGTCATCAGCTCTAGAAAGTATAAGTTATCATCGCCAGTTTATAGCTGAGGCACAAAAAGGTTAAATGAGTAGCCCAAATCAAAAAAGACTATAGCCAGGATTCAAGTCCAAAGAGCCCCAGCCCAAAGCTTGTACTCTTAGCCACTCTTGTATATATTTGTTGAGAAAAATAAATGTATTAAAAAGGACACCAACCATAGCCACAAAGTTGGGGACTTGAATTTTTTCCAGTGTTTCCCTGAGTTGATCAACCTCTGCTCGATATTCATCAAGCTGACATTCTAATTTTTCTCTGCGTAGTCGCTCATACTCCAGCTGGCCCTGCAGTTCTTTGATGGTCCTATCAAAAACAAAAATTTTTAAAAATCAATCACCAATGTCAACTAACTATTTTTAATAGTGGAAAGCATTCATGCATTGTATTTAAGGCAAATAAAACAAAGAAATCATTTATTCAACAAATATGTATTAAGGTTCTACTATGAACGAGCACTGACCTAGGTACTGGGGATACAGTGGTGAACGAAAGGCCCAAAATCTGCCTTCCTGGACCTTACTACTGCATAGTAGAGATATGCAGACAATAAGGAAAATAAATAAGTAAAATATATGGTATGTTGGAAGGTAGTAAGTGCTAAAGGAGAAAACAAAAATAAAGCAGGAAAGAGTAGTATAAAATGTTGTGGAAGAGGGGCTTAACATTTCTTACAGTGGCTAGGGAAGGCTTTACTGATAAGGGGGCTTCTAAGCCAAGCCCTGAAGAAAATAAGAGAGAGAACCCTGTAGACATTAGAGGAAAAGCATTCCAGACAAAAAGAACAAGTACAAAGGCCCTAAAGTAGAAGTATGCTTGAAGAAGTACAAGAAAAACAGAGGCCAATGCAACAGAATCGTTTAAAGAATAAAAGGGAGGCCAGGCATGGTGGCTCATGCCTGTAACCCCAGCACTTTGGGAGGCTGAGGCAGGTGGATCATTTGAGGCCAGCCTGGCCAACACAGTGTAACCCTATCTCTACTAAAAATACGAAAAAAAAAAAAAAAAAAAAAAGTCAAGTGTGGTGGCACACACCTGAAATCCCAGCTACTTGGGAAGCTGATGCATGAGAATCACTTGAACCCAGGAGGCGTGGATGCAGTGAGCTGAGATCATGCCGCTACCCTCTAGCGTGAATGACAGAGCAAGACTCTGTCTCAAAAAAAAAAAGAGAGAGAGAGAGAGAGGCCGGGCACAGTGGTTCACACCTGTAATCCTAGCACTTTGGGAGGCCAAGGCAGAAGAATTGCTTGAGCCTAGGAGTTCAAGACCAGCCTGGGCAACATAGTGAGACCCCGATCTCTACCCCCAAAAACATTTTTTTTAAAATTATCTGCGGTGATGCACACCTGTAGTCCCAGCTACTTGGGAAACTGAGGTGCGGGGATCCCTTGAGCCCAAGAGGTCAAGGCTGCAGTGAGCTGTGATCATACCACTGCACTCCAGCCTGGGTGACAGAGTGAGACCCTTTCTAAAAAAAGAAGAAGGAGAGGGACAGTAGTGTGAGTCAGAGACGTAAAAGAGAACCAGAGTAAATAAGACCTTTTAAATCATAGTAAAGACTTTGGCTTTTATGCTGAAGGAAATGGGAAGCCACTGGAGGGTCCGAGCAGAAAAATGGCACAATCTGACCTGTAATGATTGCCCTGGATACTGTTTTAATATGATTACAATAGATATGATATGATTACCCTGTTTTAATATGATTACTCTGGATACTGTGTTGAGAATAGACTACAGGGTAGGGGAGTGGGGGATATGAAGGCAGGGACAGGAAGTAGGAGACCGATCAGGAGGATGTCGCAATAATCCAGACAAGAGGAGATGTAATTTGAACCAGGATTTTTCTACCTTATGGCTGGATGGTGAGGGGAAACAGAATTCCCAAGGCATGTTAGGTTGGGTCCCGGAAGGGCAATCTAAGAATATACAGTAGTAGCTCTGGTACAGAAGTGAGTAAGGTTAAGATTGGGGATAGAGAGGAAGAATGTCAATTGTGGAAGTCTAGAAGTTCGGCAAATAAGAAGGGAATATCATCCCCAGGACAGAGTAACACAAATATGTTTTATTGTACTGAGAGATTGGTCTAACTGATGGACAACAACAAAAATCAAAAGATATCCCTCAAGCCAATACTTGTCCAGTTTTTCTTTACAACTATATCCAAGATCAGGAGTTTGTACCCAAAGAATAAATGTCTTAAGATGCACTTAACACAGCGAGGTGTGGTGGCTCATGCCGGTAATCCCAACACTTTGGGAGGCCGAGGCAGGTGAATCACTTGAGGCCAGAAATTTGAGACCAGCCTGGCCAACATGATGAAACTGTATCTCTACTAAAAATGAAAAAAAAAAAAGTCAGTGTGGTGGCTCACGCCTGTAATTCCAGCACTTTGGGAGGTTGAGGTGGGCAGATCACCTAAGGTCAAGAGTTCAAAACCAGCCTGGCCAACATGGGTTTCCCTACAAAAATACAGAAATTAGCTGGGCATGATGGCATGATGGCAGGTGCCTGTAATCCCAGCTACTTGGGAGGCTGAAGCGGGAGAACTGCTTGAACCCGAGAGGTGGAGATGGTGAGCTGAGATCACACCATTGTACTCCAGCCTGGGAGACAGAGCGAGACTCAGTCTCAAAAAAAAGAAAAACAAAAACAAAACAAAACAAAACAAAAAAAAGATGCACTTAACGCAAAGTGGAGAACAAATGCTAGAGAAGAATTAAAACTCACTCAGGGTGGAATTTAGAAGAAACACTGCCATCTCAGCTGATATGAAAATGCATTCTGGCATAAACATAAAGCAATTTTTTTAAAAAACTCTGTTCAAAAATCACTTACATTAATAATATTTCACACTGAGCCACTAATCCATAACTATTCGACTAAAAGTTCCATTAAAGACTATTAAAATTATAATGATCTTAAACAGGGTTAGAATCAGAGACTTAGGCTCAAATCCTGGCTCTACCTCCTCTGTGACTTTACCCAAGTTACTTAACCTCTATATTAAGTCTTGGTGTCCTAATCCGTATAGCTCATGGAGTTGTGAGGATTGCCTGAGATAAAGTATGTAAGGGGCTTCTCTGGTGCATGGCATATAGTAGTGCTTAGAAGTAATACAAATAGCTGTAGTGGTAGTATAGTAATCTGCTTTAGAAGAAAAGTAAAGGAAACCAAAATTTAAAGCTCATTAGTAGGAAATAATTTTTCCACCATGAAGTACTTTTCTAGACTACAAGGAATCTAAGAACTTTCAGCTAGGCTCTTAGACCAAGGCTAACACTAAAAAAAATTCTACATCTCAAAACACTTCAAACAATGTAGAGGCAGTGGACAGCCACCTATACGATATGATTTGTGAGATACCAAGAAAGCCCCTGATTTAAAACAAACAAACAAAAAAAATCAGTCTGCCACAGCTTCCTAGTGTCTAAAATCAAAATCACATCAAGAAGTAGTTTCAGTTAATAGGATAGCAGGGAAAAAAAAACAGAAAAAAGAGTATTTTGGCCTAATGTTTTGCCTTCTGTTTAAATTCCCAAGTACCTATCCATGGAAGAATGACACATTAATCCTTATATTATTTTTTATTTTCTTTCTTTTAAACTAGAGCCAAATGTCAGCTTAACTACATTAATCCTTATCAAAGATTTAGATGTTACTCTGAATACAGTTAGCAGACCTCTTTCAGAGCTAGATTCGGAAGTGGGTGGAAAAAGGGAAACAGGCAGTTCTAAGAGTGTGACGGAACAAGACACAGCCAAAGGAAAGGGCAGGAAAAGCAGAGAACAAAGAAGGGAATCCATGTGTGGTTCTCTTTCCAGACCCATGTTTGATTAAATCCAAAGTTTCCTCTCCTATCTCTTTCTGTTCCCTGTCCATTCTGGAAAGCAGATAGACAAGCAGAGAGACAGTAGGATGAAAGAAGCTCACGGCATCCTCTATCCCAGCAGCTATTAACTACAGTAGTCCCTCAGTATCAAAGAGGAATTGGTTCCAGGAAGCCCCAGACACCAAAATCCACGGATGCTAAGTCCCTTACATTAAAATGGTACAGTACATATGTATCTGCATATAATCTATATGCATTCTCCTGTATACTTTGAATCATCTCTAGATTACTTATTGTAGTAGTATACAATAAGTTGTTGTAGCACATTATTTAGGGAATAATAACAAGGAAAAAAAAGTCTATAATGTTCAGCAAAGACACAACCATACTTTTTTTTTTTTTCCTGATTATTGTATCTCCAAGTTTGGTTGCATCCACGATGTGGAGCCCACAGATACAGAGAGCCAACTGCAATTAGAGAGGTACCCATCATCCAGAGAGCCAATTTAGGGTGCAGGAAGTGAAAGGTAGAGACAACCATCCACTTGCTCACTGCCTCTAGATGCAAGAGCATTCTCTGATGGGTACTATAATCAGTGAACATAAGACCTAGTCTTAGATTTATGAATGGGCAGTGTAGCCTGATGGAAATGTTCAGAGACCACATTAGAATGTCAGTTTTGCAAGATGAAGAGAGTTCTGGAGATTGGTTGCACAACGATGGGAACGTACTTAACGCTACTGAATGGTATACTTAAAAATGGTTAAGATGGTAAATTTTATGTGTATTTTATCACAATTATTTAAAAATCTTAACTCCTTTGCCATCTGGGGGCTTAGGAGAAAAGCAGGATGGAACCTAACACCCTTCGGCAAGATGAAAGAAAAAGTTGCTGATGAACAAACCCTCACATGGCATTTACAGAGGTATTTAAAAACAAATCATTAAAGTTTTGAGGACATTACCTTTCAGACTCGAGCTGTTCTTTCTTCTGCTTTAAATCTTCTTCTGTTATGCCTCCCAAGTGTTTGTAGTTGCTCTCGGCAATTTCCAGGAGGTGTCTCAATTCTACAATTTTCTTGTAAGCTCTCACTGCAAAACAGAGTTGAATAGGAACCTAGTTAGACATATAACAGCTCATGTGTCCACTGGGTGCTGGTCTTCTTGAGCATATTCTTCCTCTAGACTAGTGTCTGTATGGTTTGGAGAGGGGGTGGAGGAAGGTTGGTATATACAAAGAAGGATAAATATAAGTAACAGAATACTAAAATGAGCATGCAATGAAATACCTAAATGGAGGATTCTTTCCCTGCTACTGGAACATGTATCAGGTTGTTATGACTATTAATGCTACGAACAAGAAGGTTTTAAAAGACTAGCAGTATTGGCCAGGCACGGTGGCTCAGGCCTGTAATCCCACCACTTGGGGAGGCCGAGGCGGGTGGATCACCTGAGGTCAGGAGTTCGAGACCAGCCTGGCCAACGTGGTGAAATCCCGTCTCTACAAATAATTAAAAAAGTAGCCAGTGTGGTGCTGCATGCCTGTAATCCCAGCTACTCACGAGGCTGAGGCAGGAAAATCACTTGAACCCAGGAGGCGGAGGCTGCAGTGAGCCGAGACCATGCCACTGCACTCCAGCCTGAACAACAAAGCAAGACTCCATCTCAAAAAAAAAAAAAAAAAAAAAAAAAAGACTAGCAGTGTTTTAGGACTAATGGTGGATTACAGGACCACGTGCAATCTACTATGTAACAGAAAATTAGAAAAACTGAAATAAGTACCAGCCACAAATTTTGTGATTGGTCACTTGTAGCACCTATGCAAGAGAATAGTAAGAGAAGGAAGTATATTGAGAGATACTCTGAACTATTCTCCAACTATCAGAACCATGACATCTCCATCTTTTATGGCAGTGGTTCTCTATCTGGGGTGATTTTCTTCCTCAAGGGTCATTTGGCAACCTCTGAATAAGTTTTGCTTGTCACAGCTTGGGAGTGGGAACAGGGAGGTGCTGCTGGCATCTAGTAGGCGAAGGCTCAGGATGCTACTAAACATCTCACGGTGCACAGAAAACCCTGCCTCAACAAAATAATTATCTGGCCCAAATTGTCAAGAGTATAGAAGTTGAGAAACTCTGCTTTACAGGACCAGCTTAGCAAATCACAGCCTCTTCTTCCTAACACCAATGATTTATCTACCAACAGGTTAGAGCTGCAGGTTCTAAACTGCATACACCTGAATCAAATGGGATGCTTTTTAAAAATGTATGTGCTTGAGCCCCATTCCAGACCTACAAATTCAAGAATATGTACTTAATAAAAGCTCCTCGGTCAGGAGCAGTGGCTCACGCCTGTAATCCCAGCACTTTGGGAGGCGGATCACTTGAGGTTGGGAGTTCAAGACCAGTCTGGCCAACATGGTGAAACCCCGTCTCTACTAAGAATACAAAAATTAGCTGGATGTGGTGGCACATGCCTGTAATCCCAGCTACTCGGGAGGCTGAGGCAGAAGAATCACTTGAGCCCGGGAGATGAAGGTTGCAGCGAGCCGAGGTCATGCCACTGCACTCCAGCCTGGGCAACAGAGTGAGACTTTGTCTCAAAAAAAAAAAAAAGGGTAGCCAGGTGCGGTGGCTCACCCCTGTAATCCCAGCACTTTGGGAGGCCAATGCGGGCAGATCACGAGGTCAGGAGATTGAGACCATCCTGGCTAACACGGTGAAACCCTGTCTCTACTAAAAATACAAAACAAAATTAGCTGGGCGTGGTGGCAGGTGCCTGTAGTCCCAGCCACTCGGGAGGCTGAGGCAGGAGAATGGCGTGAACCTGGGAGGTGGAGCTTGCAGTGAGCCAAGATGGCGCCACTGCACTCAAGCCTGGGTGATAGACCGAGACTCTGTCTCAACAACAACAAAAAAAGGCTCCTCAGACAATTCTAAAGGGCAGACGGGTTTGGGAACCACCATAACCACTAGTAAGAAGGTAGAGGGGATTAAGATAAAAAATGTCAGAAAAGAGTGAAAGAGCAGTATTTAGCTTATATAATAATTTCTTTATTATTTGAAAGTCTGTGTTTCGTAAAGCCTGTTCTATGGGGTCCTCAGAGGCAAGAACTAAGATTAATTGGAATTAGCTCCAGGAAGAAAGATTTCAATTCAACAAAAGAGGAAATTTCCAATGAAAACAATAAAAATCATATATTTATGCAGTGTCTGTGATGTCGAGATACTACACTAAGTACCTTATATATTTTAATCCTCACAGAGAAGAAATGCTTCTCAGAAGAAGACATACACACAGCCAACAAGCATATGAAAAAATGCTCAACATCAGTAATCATTAGAGAAATGCAAATCAACACCACAGTGAAATGCCATCTCACATCAGTTAGAATGGCTATTATTAAAAAGTCAAAAAACAACAGATGCTGGGGAGGTTGTGGAGAAAAGAGAACATTTATACACTGCTGTTAGGAGTGTACGTTAGTTCAACCATTGTGGAAAGCGGTTTGGCAATTTCTCAAAGAACTCAAAACAAAATTAACACATGACCCAGCAACCCCACTATTGGTATGTACCCAAAGGAATATATATCATAGTATATTCATACTATATTCACACTATATTCATACTAGAAAGACACATGCACACATATGTTCATCACAGCACTATTCACATAGCAAAAACATAGCATCAACCTAAATGTCCATCAACAGAAGACTGGATAAAGAAAATGTGGTGTGGCCGGGCACGGTGGCTCATGCCTGTAATCCCAGCACTTTGGGAGGCCAAGATGGGCAGATCACAAGGTCAGGAGTTCAAGACCAGCCTGACCAACATGGTGAAACCCCATCTCTACTAAAAATTCAAACATTAGCTGGCCATGGTGGCACACATCTGTAGTCCCAGCTACTCGGTAGGCTGAGGCAGGAGAACCACTCGAACCCGGGAGGTGGAGGTTGCAGTGGGCCAAGATCGCACCACTGTACTCCAGCCTGGTGACAGAGTGAGACTCTGTCTAAAAAAACAAAACAAAACAAACAAGAAAAAACTTACTACCATTCACCGAATTCCCCAGGCCAGAAATCTGTCATCCTTGATTACCCTCTTTTTCTAACACCTCATAGCCACATCTATCAGCAAATCCTATCATCTTTCTCTTCTAAATACACCCAAATCTCACCACTTCTCATTATCCCCATCATCTCCACTCCAGTCCAAGCCATAAACAACTCTCCTGAACTATAGCCATAGCCCCCTGATTTCCCTGCTTCCACTCTTGCCCTATGAAGGAAAATGGGCTTTCCACAACACCAGAAATCTGGAGGCAAAAACAGTCAAGGCCAACAAGATCTTGGCTTGGCTTTCACTCTATCTTCCCAACAAGGTATGATCTTACTGATGATTTTTTTCAAGAACCAGGATATATATATAAATATTGCCTTAAAGGGAATACATAGAATGTTAATGTAAGCTCTTCTTAAATGGTGATGAAAGCCTCTAGTATAAAAAGGCGGAAGCAAAACAAGAATGGAGATATCCCATATCACTGGTAGTTGCAGGCCTACATCAGGAACTCTAGGAGCCCAGGAAATCTGTGCAGATATTCTACATCTGCTCTTATACAATTCTAATTTAGTATCCTTGGCATCAGGATATAATTATATCAGGAACTTCATCCAACCTTATATAGTTAGGTGGAGTATGTTCTTTTCCCACCTAATTCATACCCCATATGAAATGCTATGCTCTTGTCCACCTCCTAGTCTATCACCCACTCAACAGGTAGAGTGACACTGTTTATCATTCCCCACCCTGAATCCCAACAATAGCTTTCTATTTAAAATAAAATTTATATGCTGAGATTTTGTAGTGAAAAAAGAGGAAAAATGAACAAATAAAAATCTAAAACTAAAATCCTTATTAGGCCCTAAATAATCTGACTGGGTCCCTGCTTACCTTTCAAACCTGTCACCACTTTCTTAGGGATTCTACTCAAGCCACACTAACCATTCTCAATGCTACATAATGGCCTTTACATGCACTGCTCCCTCTGCTGGCATGTTCTTCCAAGATCTTAATATGACTCATTCTCATCACTCAGGTCTCTGCTCAAACATCACCACCTCAGAGAGGCCTAATGACTTTCTTATCTATAGCACCACTCTACCCTATTTTCTTTATATATCTATTTTCTTACCAATTATTTATCACCCTCCCCCTGACTACCACCATTCAGATGAAGTTCCTTTGTATTGTTCACCATTATTTCAATACCTACAACAGTGTCTGGCACATAGTAGACAATAAATATTTGTTGCTATTATTATCTATAACAATCATTTGCCAACTAACCATGGAAATCCTTGAGATGTCTCTTTCCCTGTTTCCTTGATCCACTAAAGAAAATACTTGAGTATTTTCTTATATAACTTTCTACCCCCTGAGGGACAGAGGTTATGTCTTATACTTTTTATATGTTCAACAACCCTAGTACAAAAACTTATATTAGTTCTGGTTCCTGCAAAAATATCAAATTATTTTACTTGTAGGCAGTATTTGTCTTTAGAATAGTTTCCAAACTTGTGGTAAAAAGTGGCTATGTTATTTCTGAAAGGATAAATCACAACAGAGGCAGCATACTTACTTCTGGCATCTGTTTTATCCAAGTCACTCAGACATAAATCATCCTTGGCATCAGTGCTTCCCTCAACACCATGTCTTATAAAATATTTCACATCATTTTCATCAATTTCATTTTCATCATCTATATCATATTTCTGTAGCTCCTCTAACAGCTTCACTGCTGCCAAATGGGCAAACCTGTAGAAAAGAATCAATAACTAACCAGATCCACAATCTTCCTGAAACTGAAACTGCAGCTTGCACTTAACTTAGGGAATTACACTCTGTACACTCTGCCATCAATCCACTCACCAGCCAAGGAGCCAAAATCTGAAGGTCAGTGACAATTTGACATATATTCAACTATATGAGAAACTCAGTTACTTGACACTAAGGACAATTATTCATATTAAACACTGATTCCATAATTTTTACTGGCAAAAATACACTGGGAATGGAGATCCAATATCAAAGGAATATGTGGTATGCTCTCAAGCAGAGCTGCTCAACTGAATAGAAGACCCAGAACCACCCTCCTTGATTACCTACAGTTATTGCCTTTTCTTGGCCTAATTTAGATTATAGAATTCATTTTCATTTCAGTTTTAGGGCTAACTATTAATATAGCTCTAGCCCCCTCTATCTTCACCCTTCCTCAAGCCAAAGCATTTGGTATGACTTTGAAATTTAATGAAAAAATGACGACCTTTCCATTCATGTTTTCTAATTCTCCTTAATCTTTCCTGCATCTCTATGAAGGTTCCAGTAAGGTACTCTTAGTTTTGGAGTTGTTGTTGTGATTGTATGTAACCTGCATATTTTTCCACAATTTTTCTAACTGGAATTTTTAATATATTTTCTTACAACTTGAAAAATTACTAAACATAAAAACCTTAAATCCTGTTTTCTTATATTTACATAACCAAACACGCACATTACCTCCTACCAGGTACTGCATATCATTAAAGACATAGTAATAAACATATGCAGGAAGTTGTAAGGTTTATAGAATTCATTATCTCTACTACTAGGTTGTAATTTCACAACTGTCATTTACTGAGTGCTTACTTTACGCTAGATTCAAAGTTATCTCTAAAATAACACTACACCCACACCAAGCATTTTGGTGCATGAGAAAAAAATGTGGGCCCAGAAATTATGGAAAACTTCAGATACACCTATAGTATTCAATCACCTATTTGATGTTGATACAAAAATATACAAATAGATCAATGGATAAAATAGTTCAGAATTAAGCCCACACATACATCGAGAACTGATTTTGACAAAGGCAGTGTAGAAATGATAGTCTTTTAAACAAATAGTCTAGAACTGGATATCCATATGCAAAAAAAGAACTTGGACTCATACTTCATATCATATACAAAAATTAACTCAAAATGATCACAGACCCCAATATAAAAGCTAACACTATATAACTTCTAAAAGAAAACATAAAAGAAAAATTTTATGACTTTGTGTTAATCAGACTTCTTTAGATATGACACCAAAATCATAATCCCTAAAAGGATAAATTAGTAAGAAATTTTGCTCTTCAAAGACATTAAGAGAATGAAAAAACAAGATACAACTGGTAAGAAAGGGAAATCTTTGCAAAGCATATATCTGAGAAAGAACTAGTATCCAGAATATACAAAGAACCTTTAAAACTCAACATCAAGAAAACAATTCAATTTTTTAAAGTGGGCAAAAGATCTGAATAATCACTTCATCGAAGAAAATATACAGATGGCAAGTATGTATATTTAAAACATGCTCAAAATCATTTTTCATTAGAAAATGCAAATTAAAACCACAATGAGCTACCACTACATACCTATTTCATTACTGGAATTAAAAAAAGACCCTAACAATACCAAATGACGGTGAGAATGTGGAACAACAGAAACTGACATCCATTGCTGACAGAAATGCAATTTTTTTTTTTTTTTTTTTGAGATGGCATCTCTCTCTGTCACCCAGGCTGGAGTGCAGTGGCACGATCTCGGCTCACTGCAAGCTCCACCTCCCGGGTTCACGCCATTCTCCTGCCTCAGCCTCCCGAGTAGCTAGGACTACAGGCGTCTGCCACGACACCCAGCTAATTTTTTGTATTTTTAGTAGAGATGGGGTTTCACCATGTTAGCCAGGATGGTCTCGATCTCCTGACCTCAAGATCCGCCCGCCTCAGCTGCCCAAAGTGCTGAGAGTACAGGCGTGAGCCATCGCGCCAGGCCAGTTTTTTTTTTTGAGGGTCTAGCTCTGTGGACCAGGTTGGAGTGCAGTGGTGCAATCTAGGCTCACCACAACCTCCTCCTCCTGGCTTCAAGCAATTCTCCTGCCTTAGCCTCCCAAATAGTAGCTGGGACTACAGGTGCATGCCGCCACACCCGGCTAATTTTTTTATTTTATTTTATTCTATTTTATTTTATTTTATTTATTTATTTTATTTTATTTTATTTTATTTATTTATTGAGACAGGGTTTCGCTCTTGCTGCCCAGGCTGTGGTGCAATCTCGGCTCATGGCAACCTCCACCTCCTGGGTTCAAGCAATTCTCCTGCCTCAGCCTCCCGAGTAGCTGGGATTACACGCGTGCACCACCATGCTTGGCTAATTTTGTATTTTTAGTAGAGACGGAGTTTCTCCATGTTGGTCAGGCTGACCTCGAACTCCCGACCTCAGGTGATCTGCCCACCTCAGCCTCCCAAAGTGCTGGGATTACAGGCGTGAGCCACCGTGCCCAGCCTGAATTTTTCTTTTTTAGTAGAGACGGGGTTTCACCATGTTGGCCAGGCAGGTCTCAAACTCCTCACCTCAAGTGATCCACTGCCTTGGCCCCCCATAGTGCTGGGATTTCAGGCATGAGCCACCGCGCCCAGCCCCTAGAAACGCAAATCTGTATGGCCACTTTGGAAGGCACTTTGGCAGTTTGTTATAAAATTAAACATACACTTTGCATATGGCCCAATAATCCTACTCATAGATTTACCAAATAATTAAAAACATGTTAACACAAAAACCTGTATAGGAATGTTTACAGCAGCTTTATTCATAACCACCAAAAAATGATACAATCAAAATGCCCTTCAACCTGTGAGTGGATAATCGAATTATGGAATGCTATGGAATTCTACTCAGCTGTTAGAAGGAAATGAACTACAATCAAGATGTCCTTCAACCTGTGAGTGGATAATTGAACTATGGAATACTATGGAATTCTACTCATCTGTAAGAAGGAAATGAACTGCTAATACACATAGATGAATCTCAAAATAATTATGTTGAGTGAAAGAAGCCAGACATAAATATATATTGTATGATTCCATTTATATAAAACTCTAGAAAATGCAAACTAATCTACAGTGACAGGAAGCAGATCAGTGGGAGCAGTCAAAGGGAGAGAGATTATAAAGTGGCAGGAGACTTTGAGGGTGAAGAATATGTTCACTATCTTAATTGTGGTAATGGTTTCACAGGATATGCACATATCAAAACCCATCAGTTGTACCGTACAAATATATGCATTTTATTGTATGTCAATTATACCTTAATAAAGTCATTTTAAACCAATAAAATAGACTTGAGTTGATAATGATTCCAGGTACATGGTACAACAAAACCACACTCCAAGGCATCAAAGAAATTCCATAAACAAAATTGTAGGGAACATGAGCTCACAAACAAAAGTTGCATGGCAACTTAGCAAATGATTGGACCACAGCATACTGTCAAGCCTCATCTGCCATTGTTAGCCCATACTCCTAGTTTAGATTCCAGCTTTCTACTCCACATGCAGTTCTTCAAACATACAAGGTGTTATCTTACAACTCCTCCTTAGGTTTACACTTATGCTTACAAGTATCAACATAAATGTTTCTCCCTCAAAAAAAAAAGTTTTTTTCTTTGACCTCTATCTAAATTCTGTCCCCATGCAGTTTCCTTCATAACTTTTACCATCCTCTGTATTAAAGTTTCTCCCTTACAACTTTCCAACAGAAAGACTTTTTTCTATGTTCTTAGTGTACCTTACACATACCATGTAATACAGTATAATGATTAGAATTAATAAGAATTTTATTTGCATATTTCTCTCTCCACAATACTGTAAGCTCCTTGAGGGCAGTGACTGTGTCTTCTCCCCTTTGTATTTCTACCACTAATCACAGAACTTGGAACATGGTAAATATATGGGAAGCTGAATGAAAAAACAACCAAATGAACAAACAGATGGACTAAATATTTCTTGAGAACCTAACTTGAATGAGCTGGCTATGTTTAATAATACGTGCTATATTTAATTCAGATGTAAACTGCAAAATATGTTTCAAAATCCATGTCATTTATTTTTCTATTATTAATGCTATTTATTTTTATCACATAGCATTTCTTAACAGGGAATGCTACAGGCATTTGGATGGGACAAATAGTGCATTACTGTTCTGAGCACTGCAGAATATTTAGCATTCCTAGACCTGACCTCCAGTTGGTGAAGGTCTCCTGACCTCCAGTTGGGGGTCTCCTTCCCCAGCATTTCCAAAGACCCCTCCCATGAGAAAAGGGGAAAATATTACCTCCCAGTTGAGAATTACTGCTTTAAAGAGAAAAGCTGATATAATGATGGCTGTAAATTCAGCTTGAAAATTGTCATTCCATCTATATTTGATTGAGTCCTCTAAAATTCCATCAAATCTTCAGAGAATTTTGAGTCCAAGAAAGTATATGCAAAACTTTAAAAGCAAAAGAAAGGAGTAAAGAAGACAGATTTATACCTCTTTGCCACATCACTGGGTCTCTCCCCTGCTTTGTTGGTAATATTACTGTCTGCTCCCATTTTAATTAACCATTGCAAACACTCTATGTGGCCTTGTCCAGCAGCTGTTCAAAAAAAGGAAAAAGAACAGGAATTACAAAAAAAGTTGTAAGTAACAATTTTCTAAAATTTTGGATAGTACCATTATAGAGTACTTACCTAAGTATTGATCCTTGCAGTAACTGGCAAAAGTACGTTGGGCAAATATTATTTTCTCTATTTCACTTACTTATTAGACAAACATTTAATCAACTGTGTTCAGGCCCCATACAGATAATTTTACATACGGATATAAAAGCTGAAACTCAAAAAGTTTTTTTATGTATTTATTTAAAATCACACAGCTAGTAAAAAGTAGTTTGAAACTAGAACCCAGGCTTTTCTAATACTATCCAGCACTTATCTCCTACTATAAATAGCTTCTAACCAATCTTGTATTTCACAAGAACGTGAGCACATTCTAACCATAAGAACCTACACAGACTTCAAAAAGTCTTGCTTCAGCATATATTTATATGATAGATGTATAGTATATATGTATTCTTCTGATTCTTACAACTCAAAATTTATAGGCCTGTAAAACCACACTTGATTACCTCAACTGTTTACCACCTTTGTCCAAATCTTTACCTCAAAACACATGCTGTCTTTATTGTCACCTTCACAACTCTGCTTAATGTGTCTTCCCACCTAAAGCCAATCACTCAACAATGTGCTCATTTAACCTGTAACTATTCTTCTTTATCCATCTTGAAACTCAAGGAAGCTGAAGAAAACAAACGGAATAGACTTAAAAGAAAGACTTGAGTTTAAGTCTTTTAAACAATAAGATGTGAGGAGAAGGCTGTAATCTTCATATCCCCAGAACACAGCAAGTGGCTGCAACTTATAGACCCTCAATAAATGTCTAAATAGAGTTGATGAGTGAATGAATACATTTAAAAAATGAAATCTCAGCTCTGCTATTACTAGCTATATATCTAACCTCAGTCAAGCCACCTGACTTCTCTAAACATCAATTTCCTCATCTTTTACATAGATGATTATTTCATAAGCAAAGCACACTGCTGCTTTATAAAACTGCAGTAAGGATTAAATGTGATAAGAGTTTTTCACTCTGTAAAGTAGTATATAAACATCAGGTATTATTACCAAATCCCTATGAACAGTTCCTCAATAATTTGATCCTTAGCAACTTCTTCACCCTTCAATTCCTATTCCTATGACATGTATTTTAACAACCTAATTATTTTTTGCCATTAATTGCATCCTATCTTAAAAGAAATCTCTATTTCTTTTATGGTATAATTATGTAACTCTTTAACAATAAGGTCCAGATCTCATTTTGGCTCACAGTACAGGCACATGGTTGGTGCTGAATATGTATACATGACCTTACAAAATGAATCAAAGAGCGAGAACTTTTGGTATTTATTTGGTGCTTTAAAAAGCAAACCCACCTCCATTACTGGCAACAGAGAGGACACAGAGCAATATCAAGGGACTAAATAACCCTATCACTACAGTCCCACAGCCCAGCTGGCAAGTCTGTAAGAACTCTTGTTCTGTTGTCCTCTGCCTCAGAGCCATCTGCCAAATTACAGGCTGGCTTCTGCAGAGTCTGGGGCTTCTCTCTTTCCCACAGAGTCTGGGGCTTCTCTCTCTCCTACAGCCTATCTAACCCACTAACACAGAAACTTCACAATTTCTCAGACTTCTATTAATAACCCCACTTTAGACAAAAATGGCAACATATTGATCTTTCTGTCATTAAGAGTCACAAAATCATATTTATGAGCATGGATAATGCTGAATTTTACAAGACAGAATGAATTTAGCCCAACATTTCATTTTATCACATGGGAAATGTTTAAAAACAGGAGGGAGGGAGGTTAAGTTATATATCTACAATGAAATGCAATAAAAGGATTTACCTAAGATTTTTACTGAATATTGATTAGGATATGTTGACTAATTTGACCAATGTTTTATAAGGAACAAGACAAAATTATACAGGTGTTAGAAATTTTTAAGAAATGACTTGAAATAATTATGATTTAAGAGCAAGTTTAAAAAGGGGAAGTCATAGATCTAAACAATTATTAAATAACTAAGAAGAATGCCTCAATAATAAATACCACAGCTTATCTCCTAAATGCAATTAAAACTAAAGGAAAAGGCAGTCTGACAAAATGTGAGAAACATGAATTAAATTATAAACAGATATCAACTTTTATATGACCAATTTTAGTACAGTATAAACATACAGATGGTACCCAAGAAAAGGCTAATGTCTTAATGTACTTCTGAATGACTGGAGGATCAATGAAAAAATTAAGAAGGAAGTTGAAAAATTTCTTGAAACACATGATAATGGAAACACAACATATAAAAACCTATGAGATACAGCAAAAGCAGTACTAAGAGGCAATATTGTAGTTTTAAGCGCCTACATCAAAAAAGAGAAAAAACTTCAAATAAAAAATCTAATGAGGCCAGGCACTGTGGCTCATGCCTATAATCCCAGCACTTTGGGAGGCCGAAGCGGGTGGATCACCTGAGGTCAGGAGTTCGAAAGCAGCCTGGCCAACATGGTGAAACCCTGTCTCTACTAAAAACACAAAAATTAGTCGGGCATGGTGGTGTGTGCCTGTAATCCCAGCTACTTGGGAGGCTGAGTCAGGAGAATTGCTTGAACCTGGGAGGTGGAGGTTGTACTGAGCCAAGATCGCACCACTGCATTCCAGCATGGGTGACACAGTGAGACTCCATCTCAAAACAAACAAACAAAAAATCTAATGATGCATCTTAACAAGAAAACCAAGAGTAAGCCAAACCCAAAATTAGTAAAAGAAAAGAAACAATAAAGATCAGAGCAGAAATAAATGAAATTAAAATGAAGAAAACAATGCAAAAGATCAATGAAACAGCTGAGTATTTTTCTGAAAAGTTAAACAAAACTGACAAACCTTTATCCAGACTAACTAAGAAAAAAAGAGAGAAGATCCAAACAAATAAAATCAGAAATGAAAATGAGATATTACAACTGATACTGCAGAAATTCAATGGCTCATTAGTGGCTACTCTGAGTAACTATATACCAATAAATTGGAAAATCTAGAAGAAATAAATTCGTAGACACATCCGACCTACCAAGATTGAACCGGGAAGAAACCCAAAACTTGAACAGACCAATAATGAGTAATGATATCAAAGCCATAATAGAAAGTCTCCCAGTAAAAAAAAAAAAAAAAGCCCAGAACCTGATGGCTTCACTGCTGAATTCTATCAAACATTTAAAGAAGAACTAATACCAATCCTACTCAAACTATTCTGAAAAATATAAGGGAAAGGAATACTTCCAAACCCATTCTACAAGGCCAGTATTACCCAGACTCCAAAACCAGACAAAGACACATCAAAAAATAAAACTACAAGCCAATATATCTGATGAATATTGATGCAAAAATCATCAACAAAATACTAGCAAACCAAATCCAACAATATATTAGAAAGATCATTTCATCATCACCAAGCAGGATTTACCCCGCGATGCACAGATGATTCAACATATGCAAATCATATGATACATACCGATAGAATGAAGAACAGAAACCATATGATCATTTCAACTGATGCTGATAAAAGCACCTGACAAAATTCAACATCCCTTCTTAATAAAAACCCTCAAAAACTGGGTGTAGAAGGGACATACCTCACCACAATAAAAGTCATATATGACAGACCTACAGCTAGTATACTACTGAATATGAAAGCCCTTCCTTTGAGACCTGGAACACAAGGATGCCCACTTTCTATTATTCAACACAGTACTGGAAGTCCCAACTAGAGCAATCAGACAAGAGAAAGAAACAAAGGGCATCCAAATTGGAATGGAAGAAGTCAAATTATCCCCGTTTACTAATGATATAATCTTATACTTGGAAAAACCTAAAGACCCCACACAAAAAGACCTATTAGAATTGATAAGCAAATTTAGTAAAGTTGCAGAACATGAAATCAACATACAAAAATCAGTAGCATTTCTATATGCCAACATTGAACAATCCAAAAAAGAAATCAAAAAAGTAATCCCATTTATAATAGCCATAAATAAAATTAAATACCTAGGAATTAACCAAAGAAGTAAGGGATTTATATAGTGAAAACTATAAAACATTGATGAAAGAAACTGAAGAGGATATCAAAAAATGGAAAGATATTCCATGTTCATGGACTGGAAGAATCAATATTGTTAAAATGTCCATACTATTCAAAACAATCTACAGATTCATTGCAATCCCTATCAAAATACCAATGATATTCTGCACAGAAATAGAAAAAAAAAAAAAAAAAAACCTAAAATTTATATGGAACTACAAAAGACCCAGAATAGCCAAAGCTATCTTAAGCAAAAAGAACAAAACTGAAGGAATCACATTACCTAATTTCAAATTATACTATAGGGCTATAGTAACCAAACAGCATGATACTGGCATAAAAACAGACACATAAACCAATGGAACAGAATAGAAAACCCAGAAACAAACACACCTACAGTGAACTCATTTTTGACAAAGATGCCAAGAACATACACTGGGAAAAAGAAAGTCTCTTCAATAAATGGTGCTGGAAAAAAACTGGATATCCATATGCAGAAGAAAAAAAACCAGACCCCTATCTCTCACCAGATACAAAAATCAAGTCAAAATGGAATAAAGACTTAAATCTAGGACCTCAAACTATGAAACTACTAAAAGAAAACATTGGGGAAACTCTCCAGGACATTGGTCTGGAGAGTTTTGAGCAACACCCCACAAGCACAGGCAACCAAAGCAAACATGGACAAATGGGATCACATCAAGTTAAAAAGCTTCTGCACTGCAAAGGAAACAACCCACAAAGTGAAGAGATAACCCACAGAATGGGAGAAAATATTTGCAAACTACCCATCCAACAAAGGATTAATAACCAAAATACATAAGAAACTCAACTCTATAGGAAAAACTCTAACAATCTGATTGTTTGTTGTTGTTGTTGTTGTTGTTGTTGTTGTTACAGAGTC